GGTAGTCCATCAATTCTGATCATGATGCTTTCCACCACTGAGTCTGGATGACAAGTAGGCCAGTGGGCTAACAAAAGAGAAAAAAAAAAACTAACAGATTCCATCAACACAAATGAAGTAGACAGAGGAATACCCCTCGTTGAGACTTTGCAATCTGATAGTGGCAGACACAACTTTTAAAATATACTGATTAACTTCTGGAACAGGTTGGCTGCAGCCACTGAACAGTAAAAATTTCCCAACGTGCCCCTGTTTAATCGACTTCTGTCAAGCGGGGGCTGCCACACACTGATCAAAATTTGTCTGGTCCCTGCGGGACTGGCCAAATTTCATTCAGTGTATGACAAGCTTAAGCGCACGTTTGTAACAAAAAAAATAAATAAATTATATGAAGGTAATTTTAGCTGTTTGATTCCAAGAGTCATAAAGTGAGCTGTATACAGCACATGCCTTCAATCCAATTCAGTATGTGTACAGAAGATTAGAGAAGCCTCAAAAGAAGGGATTTAGAGATATCTAAAGTAAATCTATCATGATAAAAACGGGACCATTCAAGCCTTTTTTTACAAGTTGTAAGTTCCCTGGCTGTGGTTTTCATCCTATGGCTTCAAGACTTACAAAGGTAAATAGACTGTTCACCGTGCAAGGGAATTTTCATTTTGCCAGGGAGTTATTCTTTGTAAAGTGAATTATCCCCACATTCACTATGCTAAGAATACTCAATCATGAGCAAGAAAAATAAAATGTCTTTGTATTTTTGTTTGCATGATTTTATGATGGGAGTCACTTCATTCTCTTGCAAAGTGAACAGCCTATTTGCCTTTAGTAAATCAACCCTGCGGAGTCACTGATGCACAACCAGAGTAAAGAGTGCAACGCATGCATCAGCGTCAATAAGCCACAAAGTAGTGAAGCCCCAAGTTTCAAGCCAAGGAACTAGCAAGTTATTTAAAGTACTGGCAGATCCCTTATTTCTAGTATTACAGGTTTACTTTAAGCAGAGACCATCCCATACCCATATATCAGCCAATTCTGAGCAAGTATTTGGATACATCTCAAGGAATCCTGAGAAGTTTTAATTGATGTGACTTCTCTGGCACAGAGCCCAGATCAAGATAGAGTATTCTGCTAGCTGGACCTTTGAGGATAACTCTTAAGGACAGGAAAATCATGGAAAAAATGTAGAAGGATAGATCTGCAAACTTGCTTTAGCTGCTTGGATACATTAAAGTGTATGTAAAGATCTTCAGTGGAGTGATTCACCCATCTTTTAGTCACAAAGACAGAAGGTATGGAAAAATCCAAAATCTTAGAGATATCACCAGAGCAAGAGATGAGGGGAAAGCTTCCAATGGGGACAACTACTACTCCGACAACCCTCTAGGATAGGAATGCATTCAGTGTGGAAAGATTTCGTCATTTCCTCTATATAGCGCTTTGTTACTCTACACGTAAAAAAGTTTTAACTTTATATACACTTTATTTAAAGCTGAATTCTATGCAGATGTAACAGATCTTAGTGCAGCGCTGTGATCAATCCAACATTAAATGTATTTTTAACTGCAAGCAGTGTAAGTACCTGAATTTGACCTGGTGTCAGCACATTGCAGGTCCTGTACAGCAGGACTGGGGTGTGAGAGGAAGAAGCAGTACAAGGAACCAATCAGTTCATGTGCTGACAAAAAGCATGCTGATAGGAGAAAGCAGTGTCACAGAGAGATGAGCTCATCACTGTGCCGCTTCTTCGTTCACTGTCCAGTCACAGGCAGGGCAGGTCCAAATTGACCTAGGATCAGAGGAAGTAGGTTGAATGATACAGGAATCAGACTGATGACATCTAGAGACAGAATAATAGTACTGCAGGGGAATTCCAGCAGAATGTTGTGGCAAAAGCTAGTTTTTTTTATCTTTAAATTGGATATTCATTTTATCTCGTTCTTCCTGGCTTATTGTTTTTTCAAAAGTGCACTTATCAGCTATCTTACCAAATTGTTCTTTTACAAGGCTAAGATCTCAGTTTTATAACAAATGTTGTAAATTATAAAGAATTCTATTTATTTATTGTTAATCCTATTTTGTTAACCTAATTCAGCGCTTAACTGGAAATGTGGATCACTTGCCATGACTATGTGATGTACTGTACATAGAAAAACTTAACAGTATTTTTATTCATATAATGGATATGTTAGTGCAAACCGTTTAATAAATTATATTATATTTTATAAAATACTTGTAGTTTGGATGATTGTGTTAATCTCTTTATATTATAAACATACCAGAAACAATTATCACAACTTTACTGGAAGAATTATGGAGGTTACCATTGCTGACCATCTTCTTAAGATGGACAGGCATGCAGCAAGTAAAGTACTAGTGAAGTCAGAACTGCAGGCTTGTTCTGGGTCAATGACTCAAAGTACTGAAGTTATTGGCCTAGTGTGGCAGCCGGATAACTAGCATTTTCAGAAAGTAAGTTCAGCAAAAGACAGCCTACCTACAGTCATGAGAAGAAGTAATTGTTGACTTTTTCAACATATTTGAAAAGGTAAAACATTAGATCTTCATTCAAATGTTGTGTACAGATAAAAATGATATACTTGAATATAAACACAAGAACAATCTGCCTTTACAAACAAAAAAATTGTAAGTGGTCGCCTATTATTAGATCTAGAAGTTTCGGGTGCCATTATAGACAACACTCACCGGCCACTTTATTAGGTAGATCTGTTCAATTGCTTGGCAACACAAATTGCTAATCAGCTAATCACATGGCAGCAACTCAATGCATGTAGACATGGTGAAGACGAGTTGCTCAAGTTCAAACTGAGCATTAGAATGGGGAAGAAAGGGGATTGAAGTGACTTTGAATGTGTCATGGTTGTTGGTGCCAGACAGGCTAGTCTGAGTATTTCGAAAACTTCTGAGCTACTGGGATTTTTCATGCACAATTGTCTCTTGGGTTTGCAGAGAATGGTCCAAAAAAGAGAAAATATCCAGTGAGACTTCTCCAAGTCTCTAGATCAGGGGGAGGTTTCAGGGAACTGATCTGCAGAGCTTCTCAGCCCTGACCCAAGTTTGACCCCTCTGGTTATTACACCAGGCTGCTATTCAGCCTCTAACTAAAAAATAATTAACTAGCTCCCCCTAGCTTTCCTAGGAGGGTGCTGCACAGACATGGTGGCTCTTATAGCACTAGTGTCATTTAACCGCCCCCTCTCCCATCCAAAGAATGCTGTATATTCTGTAAGTGGCCAAGGGGAGGAAAAGGGGGTGAAAAACACTAGTGCTTCCATATACAAGAGCTGCAGCAGGCCAGAAAACACAAGCTAGTTATATCTGGTGTAACAAAAATTTGAACTGTACAGTACAGAGTAGCACCTGACAAGGTTTACTTTCACTTGAGATTTAAAGCTGACAAACTTTTATTTATATACAGTATATTCCTCAATAGACATAAAGGATATAAATCCACTTTGTGTGCGCCAAATGTCTAGGCTCCACCTATTACAGACTGTATGCAGGGAACTACAGGAGGGGGCAGAGACAAGACCACTCACCCTACACATGGAGACAGGGCAGCAGTGACTGGCCGTTATTGCAGGAAGCTCTGCATAGAGGCAAAGTTTCACACTGGATTACTGTACAGATGTGGGGAAAAATGCACACAATACCAAGATGCAAGAATATATCACACACAAAATTAAAAGTCGCACGCCTCTATATAAAAATTGTGAAGAAATATACACTATATTGCCAAAAGTATTGGTCGGCCTGCCTTTACACACACATGAACTTTAATGGCATCCCAGTCTTAGTCCGTAGGGTGCAATGTTCAGTTGGCCCACCCTTTGCAGCTATAACAGCTTCAACTCTTCTGGGAAGGCTGTCCACAAGGTTTAGGAGGGTGTCTATGGGAATGTTTGACCATTCTTCCAGAAGCACATTTGTGAGGTTAGGCACGGATGTTGGATGAGAAGGCCTGGCTCACAGTCTTTGCTCTAATTCATCCCAAAGGTGTTCTATTGGGTTGAGGTCAGGACTCTGTACAGGCCAGTCAGGTTTCTCCACCCTAAACTCGATCATCCAAGTCTTTATGGACCTTGCTTTGTGCACTGAAGGCACCATCCCCAAGCTGTGCCGACAAAGTTGGGAGCATGAAATTGTCCAAAATCTCTCGGCATGCTGACACCTTAAAGTGGGAGTAAACTCACTTTTGTATCTTTTACCTACGGGTAAGCTTACAATAAAGCTTACCTGAAGGTAAAATGAATATCTCCTAAACGTACCGCGTTTAGGAGATATTCGCTCTTTTTGTCCGCTGGCGCATGCGCTCTGAAGGAACGGCATGCCCACGCCGTTCCTTCAGAGCACTGTACTGTGTCCAGACATCAAAGCAGCTCTGCCAGTACGATGGCCAGGACTCGCTAACCCAGAAGGAAGACCGGATGGAAGCTTCTGCAGCGAAGACACCGCACTGCTGGAGGGCTTCATTTTAAGGTAAGTCCTGTATAGTATGCGATGCACATTATGACATTACCTTCCAGGGGATTTTGAATTTTTTTTTCTCCAGCTGTGGTTTACTACCACTTTAAGAGTTCCCTTCACTGGAACGAAGGCAAGCCCAACCCCTGAAAAACAACCCCACACCATAATCTCCCCTCCACCAAACTTTACACTTGGGACAATGCAGTCAGGTAAGTACCGTTCTCCTGGCAACCGCCAAACCCAGACACATTCATCAAATTGCAAGGAGAAGCTTGATTCGTTACTCCAGAGAACACGTCTTCACTGCTCTAGAGTCCAGTGATGGCGTGCTTTACACCACGGCATCCGATGCTTTGCATTGCACTTGGTGATGTAAGGCTTGGATGCAGTTGCTCGGCCATGGAAACCCATTCCATGAAGCTCTCTATGCACTGTTGTTGTGCTAATCTGAAGGCCACACAAAGTTTGGAGGTCTTAGCTGTTGACTCTGCAGACAGTTGGTGACTTCTGTGCACTTCAGCATGCACTGACCCCGCTGTGTCATTTTACGTGGCCTACAACTTTGTGGCTGAATTGCTCTGGTTCCCAGTTGCTTCCACTTTGTTATAATACAACTAACAGCTGACCGTGGAATATTTAGCAGCAAAGAAATTTCACAGATGGATTTATTGCACAGGTGACAACCTATCAAGGTACCACACTTGAATTCACTGAGCTCCTGAGAGCGACCCATTCTTTCACAGATGTTTATATAAGCAATCTGCATGCCTAGGGGCTTGATTTTATACATGTGGCATGGAGGTGATTGGAACACCTGAATCCAAAGATTTGGAGGGGTGTCCCAATACTTTTGGCAATGCAGTGTATATGCCAAATGTTTTAAATGTGCAACTGCTTATGAATAAAATAATGTTGAATGTGGCTCTTAAGGATGGCAGCAAACAAAAAATGTTTTCCACAACATAAATATGAATATAGTAGAGAAAATATGCTCCGCCTCCCACTTAAGTGCTTATAGTGCAAATACCAAACAAAACATATATATCTCCTCTAAAATAGAAAATATACCAAATAACATATACTGTAATACAGCAATATCACATCCACCAAAAATATCAACTTCAAAAGTGTCCTTTGCAAATAATAAATATCTGCATATGTTATCAGTCTTATAGTGAATTTTAAATCCAAATCATCCACCACTGTTCATCATTGCGCTCACCTCAACTGATGAAGCTGTCAATCCGCAGGTCATAACACACTTTTACCCCTTTGGGGTTCCTTACAGTGACTCCACTCAAGTGTGACCTCAAAGGCAATAACTCTCCTGCTGTTCCTGGATGTAGGATCTCTTTTTCCCCATATGTGGTGGGATGTCCCTTTACTAATACGATCTCTCTCTCTGCAGTGAACTCATAAGACAGGAGGTTTCCATAGATTAGTATGTATAGTGAAGTAAATTTATTAAATTAAAATTCCACTTACATTAATTTTCTACACGTGGAGCCGGGTGTCAGAGTGCCAAAAGCGGAAGTGACGCGGTCTGTATTTTATGCATATTCTTCTTAGAATGTGGAATTTTAATTTAATAAATTTACTTAAAGACATGTAATGCAAGTAATCAGCACCTATGGTCTAAGGCAGGGGTCTTGAATTAAAATTTATGGAGATCCGTTCAGCAAAATTTCCTTCCAGCAGAGGTCCGAATCTCGTTTGCGATATAACACATCACAGTCCCCCGGTACATTATCATCTTTAGGTTACCTTTAACACTGTGATCCCCCTACATCACAATCCCCTCTCTAAAGAAGTCCCACAGTGGCCTCAGTTCCCCTTCACATCACTGCCCCCCCTTTAAACACCACAGTGCCCCTTAAAACAACATAGCACCCTTTAACACAACACAGAGCCCCTTTTAATGCAATCCTTGCCCTGCACAGTCCTATGGTACCTTAGGCAAAGCAGAGGCACTAATCCTTCTGGGGTGTCCTCTCCTGGGCCACCAGCCCGCCACCGATGTCATCCTCATAGCGGGCGAGGGTGGGAGGAGCTGCAGATTGGGACTGAGGGGTGGGAGCTGCCCAAGTTATTATGTTAAGTGGGTGATTGCCTGGTTTGCTAATATGAAAAGACTCCCACTTTCCGTCTCAAGCTGCAGAGAGGGGAAGTCTTTACATATTAACAAGCTGGGTAATCACCGGCTCCTGCCCCTAAGTCCCGATCTGCAGCTCCTCACACCTCGCCCACTGTGAGGATGACATCGGTGGCTGAGTAAGAAGCCTGGAAGAGGAGGATACCCAGACTTGGCAGTGGCATGGCTGTGGTCCGGACAGGACTGTTCCACCATTTAGTGACCACTGGTCTAAGGTTTGGGTGTTGCAACACACTGGAGTATAAAGAGTCAGCATGTTAGAGTCACGTAAGTGCAAGTGCTACATGTGGCTGTCATGGGCAATGGAAGTACAGTCAGCAAGCAGCCTGTTGATAGCGTGTGCCTGTTATAGATGGAATTGCCTCTAGCTGTGAGGGAGATGTTGTTGGCACTCATTGCGCCACATTCTGTTCCCCATAGCAACCAGAGTAGAACTGTAGTACAGAGGTCCCCATCCTGTGCAGAGGTACAGAAGTTAATAAGTTACAGTCAAATGCATGTTGGAGTCCATGCTAGGTGCACAGTAGGGATTCCCTTCTGCTGCTGGAATCAGTAGTGGAACACCCCGGTCAGGTGGCTGTGATCTGTGTTTGGCCTGGCCTGCCTAATGGAAAGCTATGGTGGGAATTTACATGGGAACCCAAGAATTTACTTTAGAACAGTTAAGGTGTAAGTGTACACAGTGTGGCGGTCATCTCTAATGTTGGAGGACTACCTTAAGGTTGAGTAGTCCCCCAAGGTATCAATGAATCACCACAGAGTAAAGGCACCCCATATGTATTGAAAGTGACCCTGTACAGGTGCCTAGTGTAGCCCAAAAGAACCCCCAGGTAGTCCTCTTATGTGAGCCAGACTTGGTGCCCAATGATTTGATAGGGAACATGGAGGAAGGTCTACCATCACCCGCCTTCCCCCCTTACAAGTAAATTTCCCAAATCCCAAGCACTGCAAGCAGGTCAATTCTGATTCCTTTTCCTGAGCAGATCCACATGCACTCAGTTTGACTGGCACACAAACCACAGTCAAATGATTAAAGAGAGCTGTTCAAAGGGATACATACTATAGATCTAATTTAATTGGTTGTCTAGTTATATATGGAATCCTTGACATTTTCACATTTCTAAAAAAAAGCAATAAAAAAAAGACTGTCAGGCAAACAACTAGGCACACAGCGTTTCCTTATGTGTAAATTAACTTTACCTGTCAAAATATATGTAATTCTGTTCTGCCACACTTAATAACATGCAGTGCTTCTTTTACATCGTGAACGGTATATTTCTGAAAATGTGTGTAATTCTTCTTACCAGCTCAAGTGATAGTAATGGTTTCACATTGCATAACCAGGACAATGACCCCACATTTTCTACTGTAGATAAGGAATTCACAGCTGAGGAACCAATCCATCCTAGGAGCATTGATTGAACAAAGGAGGATCACCACATTTATATGGTCATCACCCTACTCACTGCTGTCCTGAATTAGAGTGGAGATTGCGAGCCAGGCCTTCTCGTCCGAGATCAGCGTCTGACCTCACAAATGCGCTTCTGGAAGAATGGTCAAACCTTCCCATAGACACCCTCCTAAACCTTGTGGACAGCCTTCCCAGAAGAGTTGAAGCTGTTATAGCTGCAAAGGGTGGGCCAACTCAATATTGAACCCTACGGACTAAGACTGGGATGCCATTAAAGTTCATGTGCATGTAAAGGCAGGCGTCTCAGTACTTCTGGCAATACAGTGTATATGTTTGACTAGTGTGGGGAGCTGGATATATACCATCAGCAGTGTGGACACACAGAATACTTTACAACTTAAAGCGGAGTTCCACACAAAAGTTGAAGGTCCGCTTTTCTCACTTCCACAATTGGCACCTTTGGGGGGGGGGGGGGGGGGGGGGGGGGGAGAGATACCTGGTTTGAACAAGTTTGGCACCCCCTGCAGCCCTCTGGGACACTTCCAAGGTCTCAGAGGACTGCAGCCCATTCACAAAACGCAGAATGTTTTACGAATTGTGCAACACCCAACAGCTGACTGAAGAATACACAGTATTTGTACCTGCTCACCTTTTAATTTTTTTTTGGGGAGGTGGCGGGGGCTGGAAATCCATTTTTAGCTTGTCATGTCCACTGTATAATCAGGGGTCACAGCGCTTTGGTAAGCACATTTTTTGGTTGTTTGGCTATTTTAATGATGATGTTTGAGATTTAGCACACAATTCCAGTTATATTGCTCATCAGGGTATAATGTGAGCTGCTCTTTCTTTGCTTTTTCTTTAGCTGGAAGGGAGGTTTGTCTCTCTTATTTATACTTTACAGGATCTGCTACTGACGACTTGGTGTAAGATACCACAGCATACTTTCAGAGGTCTAGTGAAGTCCTTGCCTCGTGAAGACCAGTGTACAGCTGTTTCTCTTCACCCACCTCTCTGAGCGCCTTATGCAGCTGAGAACAGGGGGTATGTGATCACTTATAAAAAGGCGAAAAGGGTATTTATAATGTTTCTATATCAATACATAAATGTTTTACCTTTTCATTTCTAAATTGTATGGGCTGTTTTACAAGGTAAGGATTTACATATACATAATAGGCACACCTTTATAATTACCACTGATTACAGAAACATTTCGACAAGCAAAAGAAATAGTATAGACTGTGATAGAAGAGGAGCACAACTGTTTTTTGGTGGCCTTGAAAGCACATCTAGCTCCTCTTTGCTGCAGATTATCTCTTCCAGCATTACTTTCAGTTCTTTTGACTTTTCAAAGCAATCCTCCTCTTCTTCTTTACTGGTAGATGACTGGTAGATTCATGACTCTTCTGTACAGGTAGATGACTGGTAGATTCATGACTCTTCTGTACAGGTAGATTCATGACTCTTCTGTACAGGTAGGTGACTGGTAGATTCATGACTCTTCTGTACAGGTAGGTGACTGGTAGATTCATGACTCTTCTGTACAGGTAGGTGACTGGTAGATTCATGACTCTTCTGTACAGGTACAGGTAGGTGACTGGTAGATTCATGACTCTTCTGTACAGGTAGGTGACTGGTAGATTCATGACTCTTCTGTACAGGTAGGTGACTGGTAGATTCATGACTCTTCTGTACAGGTAGATGACTGGTAGATTCATGACTCTTCTGTACAGGTAGATGACTGGTAGATTCATGACTCTTCTGTACAGGTAGATGACTGGTAGATTCATGACTCTTCTGTACAGGTAGATGACTGGTAGATTCATGACTCTTCTGTACAGGTAGATGACTGGTAGATTCATGACTCTTCTGTACAGGTAGATGACTGGTAGATTCATGACTCTTCTGTACAGGTAGATGACTGGTAGATTCATGACTCTTCTGTACAGGTAGATGACTGGTAGATTCATGACTCTTCTGTACAGGTAGATGACTGGTAGATTCATGACTCTTCTGTACAGGTAGGTGACTGGTAGATTCAGGACTCTTCTGTACAGGTAGATGACTGGTAGATTCATGACTCTTCTGTACAGGTAGATGACTGGTAGATTCATGACTCTTCTGTACAGGTAGATGACTGGTAGATTCATGACTCTTCTGTACAGGTAGATGACTGGTAGATTCATGACTCTTCTGTACAGGTAGGTGACTGGTAGATTCATGACTCTTCTGTACAGGTAGGTGACTGGTAGATTCATGACTCTTCTGTACAGGTAGATGACTGGTAGATTCATGACTCTTCTGTACAGGTAGATGACTGGTAGATTCATGACTCTTCTGTACAGGTAGATGACTGGTAGATTCATGACTCTTCTGTACAGGTAGATGACTGGTAGATTCATGACTCTTCTGTACAGGTAGATGACTGGTAGATTCATGACTCTTCTGTACAGGTAGATGACTGGTAGATTCATGACTCTTCTGTACAGGTAGATGACTGGTAGATTCATGACTCTTGTACTGGTAGATGACTGGTAGATTCATGACTCTTCTGTACAGGTAGATGACTGGTAGATTCATGACTCTTCTGTACAGGTAGGTACTGGTAGATTCATGACTCTTCTGTACAGGTAGATGACTGTTAGATTCATGACTCTTCTGTACTGGTAGATGACTGGTAGATTCATGACTCTTCTGTACTGTAGGTAGATGACTGGTAGATTCATGACTCTTCTACAGGTTCTGTACATGGTACAGTAGGTGACTGGTAGATTCATTCATGAGACACATCTTGCAGTGGCACCATTTCTGCTTATTTTGTACTCTACAATGATACAAATGAAGTCTGTTCGTGCTGAAAAAAAAAACCCCTCTGCTAGAGCACTCATATGTATGGTGAATGAAAACAGATTTTATTTTTTTTATATCTTTTAATTACACATTTTTACAAAACCAAGTAAAACAAAAAAAAGTAACAAATAAAAATTAAAAACTCAGTTGCTTTTTCTGAGGCACTTAAATAAATACTATGCCAAACCAACTGAGGCAAATAAAGATTGTTCTTTTGTAATAAGTTACGGTAGGTGTGTTCTCCATTACAAGTGCATCAAGCTCACGTCTCTCTCACACTTGTCGACCCCCTTCTGGAGCTGGCTCGGGGGGGCAAGGCAGAGTAAGCTGCGGAGCTGGAGGCAACTACAGACAGCCTTGGCCAGGGACTTGGAGACAAAAAGGTGCCATCCTACAAGAATGGAGAGAACAAAGTGTCAGATATTTACATTGCTCTACATTGGGAATGGACTACTGCACATTCATAAACATGTAATCAAAGGGATTGTAAATGGTCAAAAAAAAATGTTTTTATAGCAAAAATGTTATACTTACCTGCTCTGTGCAAATGTGTTGCACAGAGGAGCCCTGAGCCTCCTCTTCTCGGGTTACTCAACTGTGCTCCAGGCTCCTCGTCTTCAGCGAGTGCCCCCATAGGAAGCCGCTTCCTATGGGGGCACTCGTGTGCTCGTTCCTGAGCCAGCTCTGTGTGCTCAGGACCTACCAGATAGTCTACACTGTTCTAAATGGACCCCTCCAAAAACCCAGTGGAAGACCTTCTGAATAAGAAACCAGAAGACTGTACTGAATCAGATTTTTGTTTGCTTACCAAGGTAATGCCCTACTCAGCTGGGCCCTGGAGAAGAATAAATATCTCCTTTTAGGAGATACGCATGATGTCTGAGAAAACAGTGGCCACTCTGGATGACAGATTCTAATCTAAAATCCACAGAATTTGGGAGCCTTGGAGCACTCATTCTTTACCGGTAAATTTTGACTGTAGGGGTATTCCTGAGACTATTACTTCTAGCACACTTTCCGAATGCTCAAACAGACTGATAACATGTGTTCTTAAAGTGTTACTAAACCCACAACAGTAACATCAGTCTGTATATGCCATAAAGCAATGATATATTACTGTGGAACCTAAGGAGTTAATCCACCACAAAGGCTGCTGGATCCCGTCTTCTCTGGTCCTACTGTCCCCAATCAATCTGCTGATAGTACAGAGCCCTAGGAGGCACTCTGCACATGCTCAGTTTAGTGTGTATGGCTAGAGTTTTTCTTTTCTTTGGGAGGGTGCATGTGATCAGCACTGTCCAGAGAGAGGGTCAATGGTTATTCAGCCTCAGAGGACAGCAAGAGGACAGTTTATAACCAAAAAACTTTTTGATTATAAACTAATTTGGTTTTTTTTTTTTTTTTAACTAAAAAGCTGAATACATTTTGGCCAAGAATTATGTCAACCAACTTCTGGCACTTGTGAACAAGTATTCCAGCCCAGGATGATTGGACTACATTCCACAGTTCTTCTCTATTTCTTGGTTTTGCCTCAGAAACTGCATTTTTGATGTCACCCCACAAGTTTTCTATTGAATTAAGATCCGGGGATTGGGCTGGCCACTCCATAACGTCAATCTTGTTGGTCTGGAACCAAGATGTTGCACATTTTACTGGTGTGTTTGGGGTCGTTGTCTTATTGGAACACCCATTTCAAGGGCATTTCCTCTTCAGCATAAGGCAGCATGACCTCTTCAAGTATTCTGATGCATTCAAACTGATCCATGATCCCTGGTATGCGATAAATAGGCCCAACACTGTAGTATGAGAAACATCCCCATATCATGATGCTTGCACCACCATGCTTCACTGTCTTCACAGTGTACTGTGGCTTGAATTCAGTGTTTGGGGGTCGTCTGACAAACTGTCTCCAGCCACTAGACCCAAAAAGAACAATCTTACTTTCATCAGTCCACAAAATGTTGCGCCATTTCTCTTTAGGGAAGTCAATGTGCTCTTTGGCAAATTGTAACCTCTTCAGCATGTCTTTTTTTCAACAGTGGGACTTTGCGGGGGCTTCTTGCAGATAGCTTGGCTTCACATAGGTGTCTTCTAATTGTAACAGTACTCACAGGTAACTTTACACCTTCTTTGATCTTCCTGGAGCTGATTGTTGGCTGAGTCCTTGACATTTTGGCTATTCTTCTATCCATTTGAATGGTAGTTTTTTGCTTTCTTCCACGTCTTTCAGGTTTTGGTTGCCATTTTAAAGCATTTGCGTTCATTTTAGCTGAGCAGCCTATCATTTTCTGCACTTCTTTATATGTTTTCCCCTCTCCAAGCAACTTTTTAATCAAGGTACGCTGTTCTTTTGAACAATGTCTGGAACAACCCATTTTCCTCAGAATTTCAGAGAGAAATGCACTGTAACCAGCATGTACAACATTTGCTGCCTTCCTTCCTTATATAAGGGCAATAATTGCCACCTGTTTTTCAAAGAATGAATGACCTCACTAATAGAACTCCACACTGCTATTATTTTGAACATGCCCCTTTCAATTAGTGATTCAATTACACAGAATCAGCAGCATGCATGTCATGACTGTTGGGTCTGTTGGATTTCTATTACTCTACTACATCTGCTAGTAAATTATTTGCCATGTAGAAATATCATTTCTACCAAAAACAGTGATTGATCCGGTTAGTGATGTCTGACTGCTGTTATTTTGAACACAACTGTACATGGCAGGCAATGGAAGGCAGCTCTTACTTTTTCAGGAACAGTGCATCTGTACAAGTGGAAAGGATTATCTGCCAGCATTGCTAGTGCTTGACACATGTGTGCTTCTAATATTCAGATTCTGATAGACGCAGGAGGAATCCTCGCTAACCCTGCCAAAAAAACAGACAGCAAATAAAATGTGTAGATTATAAAAGCAGAAAAGAATAAAAAAATACAAATGTAAAAGTACAATGATTAATTTGATTATAACCCCAGCCAAGTGAGTGAGGGCAAATCAGCGATTTGTACGGCAATAACATCCCGACAGAGGTTCTAGATGTTCCCTTATGTATTCAAAGCAAAAAAGATGAGGTTTGGATGGAGTTTCACTTTCAGGATTTTTTTGTATTTGATCAAATACATATATTACACAGGTGCAAACGCTGAACTCAAAACACCACCAAGAAATTCAGTTATGCATCTGTAAAAAATACTAAAATATATTTTCTTTAGGCAGAAATTTAAAAATAAATATGCAGTTATCAAATCAGCAGTCCATATGTGCAATTTCCAAGCAAATATTAAAGCAGAACTGAACTGCACCTGAGCAACACAACCAAAAAAGATATTTAATTCATTTTCATTATCCAAGGCAAACTCAACCATCCATCCATGTCTCTATGCTTTATTTTGCTGATAAATCAACAGCCCCTAGCATTTCTTGAGTAAGGGCATGTGATTTATGTAGCAATTACTTCCAGGAATTCATCTGCCCTTAGCTCAGGCACGAGGGTATGCTTAGCTGAGAAACCCCTCCTCCCCTCCTGAAGTCTTCTTGGATGTATGACATCATTTGCATAGGCTTGAAATAAACATAATGATTCAGAATAGTCGATTTATTAAAGCTGGAGAGTGCAAAATCTTGTGCAGCTGTGCATGATAGCCAATCAGCTTCTAACTTCAGCTTGTTCAATTAGCCCTCATGCACACTTGATGTTTTTACAGCGGCCGTTTTTGGCTTTTGACTTTTTTTTCTACATCCAGTAAACCCCCCAGCATGTTATTCTATGTGTCCATGCACTCAGACTGTAATCAACGTTTTTGGCTGGGATTTTTTGGCTGGCTGGAAAAAACCCCCAGAACTAGTGGGTTTCTAGAGGAGTTTTTCAGCTGTAAAAACGCTCTAAAGCTGAAAAATGCAGCAAAATACCGCAAACCGGCAAAAACACAAAAAAGCTTTTTAACGTGACTTTACAAAGCTAACATTACCAGCGTTATCAAAATGTCCAGTGTGCATGAGGACTAAGGCTTTGACAAAAAAATCTGGAAGTTTCTATACAAAGCTGCACCAGATTTTGAACTCTCCAGCTGTAGTAAATGAACCCCAATGTTGATTGAGAGTTTAGTTCCATTTTAGGTTTTGGGTCTGTTTTATAACCAAAGTGGCAAATTTTGTTTTGTTTGATCATGTGGACAAAGAGAAACTTTGTGCCTTTTTCTTTTTTTTTACAGTTGTGCTCAGAAGTTTGCAATCCCTGTGAATGGTGAAATTTTGGCATTGATATTTAAAATATGACTGATCATGCCAAAAATGTCTTATTTAAGGATAATGATCATACGAAGCCATTTATTATCACATAGTTGTTTGGCTCCTTTTTAAATCCTAATAACAGCTTCAGATTTCTTAGACTATAGAGATGCTTGGAGCCATTCTGGTCTCTGATCAGCTCTATGATCAGCCATCGAATCTGCTGGCTGCATTCTCAGATTCCCCAGAGCCCCAAAAAACCGTGGAAGGCAGCACGGGGGGGGGGGGGGGGGGGCATGTCCCTTCCCATAGCTCATTAAAACAATTCAGCAGCTAATTGGCCACTAGGATTGCTTTTTACATGAAAGCCGACCACCAGCTGAGAAAAATGATACCAGGATGATGCTTGTAGCTGCAGGCATCATCTCGGTAAAACCTCTCAAATTCCAGCGATGTACCAGTACCTTGCTTGTCCCTGTTTGGCATATATGTAAGAGCAGAGAACATGGGCTAATGATGAATCGGGACTTTGGATCAATATCACTGCAATTCATGCCCATGTTGAATGTAAGTCCCAAAAAAGTTTTTAAATTCAGAAACCATGATAGGTTTCCATGTGAATTGTCTGGCAAGAGCTGAATTTGGGTGGGCGGCGATGTATTGTGCATATAAATTGCTTTGGCCCACAATCAATTGGTACAAATCATTCGTGAAAAAAAGTGGAAGGGCTAAACGCTAGTGCTGGCAACGAACGGGTCTGATCCTGCTAACACTGCGTTTTTGGGACACTATACTAAGCAGGCACTAGTACAGGTCTGTTCATGATCATTATATTGATTGATATAAACACTATACTAGTAATGGCGGTGATCAGCAACCTATAGCAAGAGTGCGATAGTGTGGGGGCAATCGAACGCTAGCTGACCCTGGCTAGGAGGGGCGCTTACTGACCCTGACGTTATCTGATGTCGTAAGTGGCAGGAATGCAGTGATCACTGAAAAATTTTATATACGGACACTGTACTAATAGCACTGGCTGGGTGATGGGGTGATCAAAGGGTTAATAGGGGCAATCAAAGGGTTAAATGTCCTAATCTAACGTGTGTGTGTGTAAAATGTAGTGCTTTTACTCTGTGCCGTGTTCTCTCCTCTCTCCCTGGACCGACTGGGGGGACAGCGGGGGGTGCAGGCGCGTTCACAATCCAAAATAGGAAGCAACGCAAGATTATGTCACTTTGCCAAGAGCTGCTGCTCGCCCGCAAAATATGGGTAAGCGGTTGGCAAGTAGTAAAAAAAAAAAAAAAAAAACCTTTAAAATTTTTTTATATTTAATTCTCAATATGGTGTTTTTTTCAATACTACCATAGTAACATTGTACTACTGAGAGGGGGGGGGGGGGTGTATCAGGGTTTTTTTTTTTTTTTTTTTTTTGTTTTGTTTTTTTTTTTACACTTGGCTTTGCAAGAGAAATAAAGATCAGTTAGGTTTTTGACAGCTCAAGATAGTGATTGGCTGGAACTGGTCAGATGGTACAGGGTGCTGTGATTGGCCCCATCACCATCATTGGGCCAATCACAGCTCACTAGAAAGAGCAGAGCGGTTATGAATGAGATTGATTTATAACAGCTTTGCTTACATTGTGATCATCAGGATCACCAGGATCTTCATTCCTCTGTGTCCACTGGACAGAGCAGTTGTGGGGGGGAGGGGCTTGGGTGCATGGCACCCTCCTGTGTTGGTACGGCCAGAGTGGCATACAGGTATGTCGCTTTGCCTGTAGTGAACGCCCGGCTGCAGTACACTGCGGGTGGGTGGTCGGGAAGCGGTTAGAAAAGAAATGACAGATTACCAACCATAAACAAAAAGACAGTTTTTTATAAATGTCCCCCAGCTTAGAGAGAAAGATAGAGAGACAGGCAGATCGATCAGTTCTCACCGTGCATGGCTAGGAGCTGCAGCTGTTGGCGTTTTGGTTTCACCTTATCCCCAAGTGGATACTGAATGTTTGGTTTTGGGTTTCACCTTATCCCCAAGTGGATACTGAATGTTGGTGTAGTTCTCGCTCGTTTGTCCTTCCCCTCTATTAAAAGAATATCCATTATAGAGAATATCTTTTTCTTGGAGAGAGTGTAAAATTAAATCAGGGTGAATTCTTTATTTCATCAATCACATAAAAAAAGCAAAAACCGTACATGTCGTCACATAGAATCAAAAACACAACGAAAAACATGTCCCCTAGGAAAATCATGTTAAATGGACTGTACTGCGCTTCTGCAAAACGCTGCAGAAAACACATAGGTATGACCCTAGGGTAAACCTGCACCTGCTGAAGATTGGATCACTGAATATCCAACCAATAGGCAACTTCAAAGTAAACCTATACTATTAGAACCCAACCTGATAATGCGCCATCTTGTGGATGCTTTATCTTAGTGCAGCCTGTGTGCATTTTTGCTGCCTTGCTATCACCTGCTGGAGATTCTTCATTCACTGGTCTGCAGGACACAGGTGTGCACTTCTCAGCTGCTACTTTGCCTGCTTATAGGTACTTTTTTTCCATAGGAAAGGTTTCAGTTTTACAAAGACAGATTAAAAAAAAAAAAAGCACGCTTATATAGCCGGGTACATGAACAGCGATATTACAAGGTTACACTTCTCAGGATATCAGTTTGAAACAGAAAGCAGACGCTGTGTGAAACCTCTACATTCTATGAACATCGAGTATGAGTGTGGAAGGCTTTGTCAGAGTGTAAACCTATAGTACTTAAGGCAACCTACCAACAACTAATCATCCTTCTGCCTGCGCTTATGATAATATTCCTTAAATTGAACCTCTCCAAAACAGAGTTTCTTGTCTTCCCCCCAGCCCGGACACCACCCCCCAATGATTTCTCCGTCACATCCAACAACGCTACCATCAAACCCGCCCGCAGGCCAGAGTACTGGGTGTCATTCTGGACTCCAACCTATCCTTCCAGCCCCAAGTCCAATCTTTAACAAACTCGTGCAGACTCCACCTCCGCAACATTGCCAAAATCCGCACGTTCCTAACCCCAGAAACCACTAAACAGCTCATCCACTCCCTCATCATATCACCACTCGACTACTGCAACTCCCTCCTCACTGGCCTGCCTCGCCGCTGGCTATCCCCGCTTCAGTCGATCCTGAATACGGCTGCCAGACTCATTCACCTTTCCAACCTCTCTGTCTCCGCCACCCCCCTCTGCCAATCCCTCCACTGGCTTCCGATTGCGCAACGGATCAAATTCAAAATCCTAACGCTGACGTACAAAGCTGTCCACCATACTGCCCCGAACTACATCACTGACCTAATATCCAAGTACCGCCCAGCACGCACACTCCGCTCCTCACAAGACCTCCTTCTCTCTAGTTCCCTGGTCTCCTCCTCCCATGCCCGCCTCCAGGACTTCTCCAGGGTGTAACCCATCCTCTGGAACTCCCTGCCCCAACCCATCAGATTATCACCTACTCTCCTCTCCTTTAGGCGCACCCTGAAAACCCATCTCTTCAGGGAAGCCTACCCCACCCCCTGCTAACTTGCCGACCTCCTCCACTCTTCCTACCACTCCATCCCCCACAGCTATCTCCTCCTGTGCCACCACCCCCTCCCTCCTAGATTGTAAGCTCGAAAGAGCAGGGCCCTGAATCCCCTCATGTTTTGCATTGTATTGGTATTCTTCTGTCACATGTTCTGTCCCCCTTTGTAATGTACAGCGCTGAGCGAACTATTGGCGCTTTATAAATACTGTATAATAATAATAATAATAATATTGAGTAGTTACTCCCATCTACTTGCCATATCTTTTAACAACCTGAATGACAGGGAGACTAAGCCTGATGCCGCTAACCAGGGCTCTCAGAATTTACATAAATTATTAGGTACTTTTTGACTAGCGTTTGTATCTTGAACTGAACTTTGACTGATTAAATGACCCAGCTTGCCTTTGAATTTGTTCTATTATCTCCCCTCTGACTTATCTGACCACACATCCTGTTTTCTGATTCTGTTACCACTCTCTGATATTACTTACTGCTGCACTGGGAGATGACCTGGCATATGCTTGCATTTGTTTGTTTCTGCCTCCGCAGACTTTTGGCAAACTTCTACACTTTATGTACTTTCATTAATCTAGCCTGTATCAGCAGTAACTAGCAGAGCCTCTACCAGGGGATTGTTGCATAATCATCTGGAGTCAGTGACACCCTGCATCTTCAGGTTAAGCTAAAACAGCTCTTACTGATAGCAGGAGAGGATTCACTTACTCTGACATTTATACATTTTTAGCAAGCAGGAAAACAAGCCCTCACCTATCTCTGTGGCTGCAAACACTGCGGAAAAAAAACATCTTCAAATTCACAGTGTTTCTGCTGGGAATTTGGGTATGAATTTTTCCAACTTTTTTTTGCAGCAGCTAGAGAGGTTAGTGGTTCTAAAGCTCCTTTACAGCTCTGTGAAGCTGAATCTGCATGATGTTCCTGAAGCAGGTGTTATAAACGTGCAAGTAAGACAGCCCTCTCCCCCAGAGATGCAAGGTCCCTACTTCTCCTTGTCACTGCCCCTGCCACCTTCTCCTGGTCTTCTACCGGGTCCAGCATCTTTATTATTCAGCTACTACTGCACACTAATGACATAACTATAGTGCATGTACAAGGGAGTTACCCTGTCCCAGTTCCTGGCTCTTGCATCTGAAAGACTGGGATTGTGCACTACACTACATGTCCATGTCAATCAATATACAATAATAAAAAAACTGTTAGTGGGAAGGGAAAGTTTTGGGGTTTTTTTTTTTTTGCAGAAAACACATTTAAATTCTCTTCTATCCCAAAAATATACCTGATATCAATTGCTTAAAAATATTCAATTTAAGCCTCGGTTCATACTATGAACCGCATGTGAATCGCACAGGAACGACACTGCATTGCACCAAAGTATATGCAACTTTTGTTTGGAGCCGCGCTGCAACCAGATTGCATGGGTGTTTTGTACCATGCGATCTGGAGAGATCCAGTGCAGGAAAAACGCACAGCATTTACAACCAGTGTTTGGAGCAGCGTTAACTTTCTACTAACACCTGCAGCAGATCGTAAGGGTGATTGAAATGAGGCGTGGAAAACGCACATGGATCATGGCATTTCCTGCGCTGCATTAGTGTGAGCCTAGTCGTAATCCACTTTAAGAATATGTAAATGAATCTCCTTAGCCTGGTCACAAAATCACTTAAACAACATAATTGTAAAGTTAAATACAGGGGAAAAAAAAAAAAAAAAAAAAAAAGACAAAAAAAAGATCCTTTCTGTGGGGATCCTCCTGCACTCAAGGTTTAAATGGTTGTTTTATCTACTTGGGAAACAGAAAAGGCTGCAGGGTCTTTGACCACATTGTGTAGAAGGCAAGACCAGCAGTCCTCACTCCCTTGGCAGCGCTTCCCTCTTTGGCATTCCGGTTGTGGGCAGGTTCTCAGCATCTTCACTTACAGTGCAGGACTGCTTGTTCTGAGTTATACATGATGCCGTCGACTGATGGAGCAACAAAGCAAAATTGCTTCACAGGACTGGCCGTGCAGCTAGGAGGGATAATATAATTATAGTAGCTTTTTAGGCAAAACAAGCATTTAACCCTTGCAGTGCAAGGGTCATTTTTTTTATTTTATCCAGAGTTCAAGAATTACAACAAAATCAGCTAATCACAAGAACAAAGGGTGTTCTCAGTGTAAAATTAATAAACTGCAGGTTTCCAAACCGAATAGATATAACGGAAGAAAATATACGAACAACAAGTCATCCTCCAAACTCCACTCCCTACATCTTCGGGTTTGTGTATGAGGTCTTCCAGCTACAGTAAATACTTATGTCTTTGTAACATTCATAGTCTTTAAAATACTTTTGTTGCTTATTATAAAGATAATAAAGCCTACTTTTCCCAATAAATGATGCAATTTCTTACACTTAAGTAAGGAAAGACTGTCCTAAAAGCCTCTTTATTTATCGACTTTATTTTGCAGGTCATTGCTGGAACCACATATTAAGTTTACTGGTCATTACTTCTATTGGAAAAACAGTTAAAGTAGATGTTATTGCTACAGTAACATCTACGGCTACTGCTGCAGTGGGAATGGCGTCTACTCACCTGTTCATCTTCCAGATATTTCTTCCTGGACTCAATATACTTCTGTACAGCCATATAAATGAATTTGTATTGGGCCTCTGTCTGCACCATACCGGAGCGCTGCTGTCTCACCATCTGGATGGTCTTTGGGACGTCAATGTCACAGTCCAGGCCTGTGTGATTCATATTATTTGGAATACCTTTAAAAATGTTATTTTCTGCAATGCTTTATACCAAAAAGACTGTTTAAAACACAGTTATAACAATAATAGCATAACAGATCCAAAAGGTAAGAGCATCCTGCTTACAGTTTAAAGCCCGACTCCAGCCAAACTTATTTTGTTTCGAATAGAGCAGCAAAATGCTAGAACCTTAGATTTTTACTCACATTTATGGATTCCCCCCCCCCCCTTCCTGCCAGGACAGAAATCTCTTCAGTGGAGCATAATTTTAGTAGAGGGAGGAAGAGTTTTGCAATGCTTTTATTGATATCTGTGCCTTCCTGTCCATTTGACACATGTACCCCCCTCATTTATTTTATACAGTAGGTGTCTCAGGGACGGGAAGTGGGGGAAATCCCAACAACAGAATCACAGAACAAGATAAAACCCTGATAGAAATGTTACTTCTTCCACATTCTAGCCCAGTGTTTCTCAACCTTTTTTCAATCAGGCATCCTTTAAAATTATGGACAGTCCCAAGCTGGGGCAGACTGACCATTTGAAAACTCGGGCACTGCCTGAGGGCCTGGGGTCAGTAGGGGGCCTCATGAGATGCCCCTGGTACCTTTTTCATAGGCTTTTTTGAGTTTGGGCAAGGACACAGGGGCCCCATGATCCCCTATTGCCCGGGGGCCCCATAAGTTGTCAGTCCGCCCCTGGTTCCAAGGCACCCTTTAAAATTATGGACAGTCTTCAGACACCCCATTCTAAAATGTGAAAAACTATTCTAATAGTTTCACATACGCAGCAATATCCACACATACAACACCCAACATTAGAGGTGATTTATTCTTCCAAAGCAAATACACTTTTGCACACTGGTACTGACTAGTATTCCAGGGTTTCTCTTCTTCCCCAGTTTTTCTCCATCACTAAGCTAATGTGACCCCAGCACTGATGGAGAGGGGCAGGGGAGGGACAAACTAGGATGGCTGTGCAGGCAGCTTACATCCTCCTTAGCCTTTATCAAATGATGACATCATTGGTTGTCAGAACGCCGGCAGCTAGGAGGTCGTAGTGGCGCACAATGAAAACCTGTGGCTTTGTGTAACTAAAAGGCAGGCTTGATCCGCCTGCTGACTTGTATACAAGTTTTGGGCAATTTTTAGACATTTTGACAAGGCACCCCTGAAGAAACCTCAAGGCACCCTGGTTGAAAAAAGGCTGCTCTAGCCAACACTAAAATTGATTTAGATGGAAATTAACAGAAGAAAGCAATTTATTGTAATGAAATGTAAATAATGCTCATGTGAAATCTTAATAAAACCGGTGCTTTTTTTTATGATGGGGGATTGTACAGGGGTGGATTTACTAAAGGCAAATAGACTGAACTTTGCAGGTGCAGTTGCAATCATTTTCCTTAGTGAATTTAATGTGGTAAAATTTCACCTTTGTAAAGAATACCCAATCAGGCGCAAGAAAAATAAACAGAACAGCATTTTGCTTGCACATAATTGGATGATGGAAATCAACAGAACTTAGTCTCATTCACCAAGCTCTAGGGAAAATGAGTGCAACTGCACTTGCAAAGTGCACAGTCTATTTGCATTTAGCAAGGGGGGTTGCTGGGGGGCTGCATTAAGGCAAAACACAGGTTTGTTTTAAGGGCTAGGGTACATAGGCTGCATACTCATGTGCAGGTAAAGAACAGCTACTAGGCACTGAGATGGATCAATTCCTATTGAATTGTATTAAAAGAGAAGTATGGGTTTTGTTTAGTTTTTTAAAAATCGTACATTTTGTACAAATTGACCAGAATTGAATAATGTCCCTAATATAGGTGTAGGGCATTTCCATACCTAATGAAGCCTGACTGGAATACTCCCAGAATGTTGCTATAAACTTTGCTAAAAAAAAAAAAAAAAAAAAAAAAAGAAGAAGAAAGGCCCAGCTGTTTCTGTTCACTTTCACAGGAATGAGCTCTCTCTCTGATTCAGACCCCTCACATGTGCTGTCTCTCTCTCCTCTGATGCAGTTGCTTCAAGCTCAGCAAGTGATAGCTCACTCCTGTGATGGAGGAGGTGAACAGTAACAGCTGGGTCTCTCAGCAACATCCTAGGAGTTTTTTGGTCAGGCTTCAGGAGGTACATAAATGGCCTACACCTATAGCAAGGGCATTATTCAACTTTAGTGAAAGCTGGACATCTTGTTTCTATCTAGATAGAGAGAAAACAGGTGGCGCACACACCTAGTGCATTATCCAAGGTTTATTGTAGGCATGAAATAATAAAAACATACTCACAGACGAAGCATGTATCTAAAAAGCATAGAAAAATGACAGGCATCAACAGCGAGGCTCTTTCTGTTCATACATCATACATACATCAGAGGTTGGTCATCAGCTCTGAGGAAAGGGATTCGTCCCGAAACACGTCAGTCATTTGACCACACTGACAGTGAGAACACCTTGCCTGCCGTTGTGGCCATTGTCATTTTTCTATGCTTTTTAGATACATGCTTCGTCTGTGAGTATGTTTTTATTATTTCATTCCTACAATAAACCTTGGATAATGCACTAGGTGTGTGCGCCACCTGTTTTTCCCCGTCTGAGGAGGGCTGCACCCCTGGAACATTTCCTTTGGTTGTCGCTGTCCTGGTACCCTTGGCTTCCCTTTTGGCTGTGCATATCCTGAGGCGCTGGAGAGTACATAAGATATCTGTTTCTATCTAGAGTTGCATAGGCAGGTTTGGTAAAGGTGAACTGACCCTTTAATCTTAAATGGAGTGGAAAAGTGTTAGAACCCTTGTGAGGTTTTTGCTGCCGTCTCTGTTGAGCAGATTTCTGCTTACTTCCTGTACTGGTGACTACACAGGGGGTAAAAGGGACAGACACAGATTCTGATCAAAATCAGACAGAGGCTGTTCCCTTTCTTCAAACACTCTAAGAGAAATGCCTGCGATTGATTTGGACTTTAAGACAAGAAGAAACAAAACTTTAGGAGAAATCTAGGTCTTTACCTTGCCTGTTAATGGTATCCACTAGAATATCTATCACTATGATTGTACCAGTGCGTCCAATGCCAGCACTGAAAGAGAGCACAATAAACACGGTTATTGTATGTGTCAGGTTTTTAAGCCATGGAGTAGTACTTGCTGCTCCCCTACTGGAAGGAGTACCTGCAGTGCACCACTATAGGCCCAGACTGTGGACTAGACTGTTGAGCTGCATTGATCTCTTCCAAAAAGCTTAGTACTCCTCCTGGTTCATTTGGGACTCCATGGTCTGGCCAGCTCAAGTACTGATAATGCCAAATGTGTCTTGGAGGCTCATCCTGTAAAAGAGAAACCGCAGCAAATTAATAAATATCAGACCAGAGAGCCAGACACTCCACGTTCCCTGCAAAATGGACATTCCTGCCTAGAAGACAATCTGAGGCATTGAACAAGATGGCTGTGTTACTACAAACACTTCAAAGTTTAATGTCCACTTTTGATTGGAGGGTACCTTTAAAGTCAAGTTATAAAGACATAATTATTTGCATAACTCTGACAGTAAGGGCAAACAAAACTATACAAGGTTCATGATGAGTATCCATGAAACAATTGACACACAAAAAGATCCAGTGCATTGAAAAGCGGAGCTCTTCACTTGGCCGCAGTGGTAATTACAGGAATGTCTTGGCGATGTAATGCTGGCAGCAGATTTCAAGCCCTCTGATCTGCCTGACAGCTCTTATGCCGCCGAGAAGCGGACAAGGATATGTTTATTATCCAATTACATATGGGTGAGCACTGCTACAGAGAAACTGTCACTCTCCATGATAGGAAATAAGCTGTGGAAGTTGACACAAGTGTCAAAACACCATATTTAAAACTAGTCATTATGTGCAAATATTTCTGGAAAAAAGAAAACAATTGACACAAATGGAAATTTCAGTTCAGAATGTGTGAAGCCAAGCTTTCATGCCGGGTGAGCCAGCACTTTGCATAAATTGATGTTTAAAGTATAATGTGTTTATCTGCCATATTCTGTTTAATGAAACACAATGACTAGAATGTTTATGTGTTGTTATCTGCACAGGATGGGTGGTGTTTAGTATATAGTGATCTCAGGTGTATCATATTCTATACTGTGTACAGTAATCACTAATATATCATACACAGTCTGTACTGTTTAGCACAGGGTGATCTCCTATATATAATTTTTTCTGCACATATGCATCTATACTGTATATTGACCTCTAGTAAGCCATATTGTAGACTCAATTCACAAAGTTAACACATCAAGATAAGAAAAAATAATTTTAGTTAACCACTTGAAGTCCGGACACTTTTCCCCCCTTCCTGCCCAGGCCAATTTTCAGCTTTCAGTGCTATCACACTTTGAATGACAATTGCGCGGGTCATTCTACACTGTACCTATGTGAATTTTTTAGCATTTTTTGAGACAGATAAAGCTTTATTTTGGTGGTATTTAGTCACCACTGGGATTTTTATTCTTTTTGCTATGTAAATGAAAATGTCCAAAATTTTGAAAAAAAAAAAAGTGTTTTTCTTATAAAATTTTGCAAATAAATACTATTTCATCCTAAACCTTGGCCAAAATTTATTCCATTATCTTTAGTAAAAAAAAAAATAACCCAACTTAGTTTATAACCAAAAATTATAATTTTTAAACTTTTTTTTTACATTTATTTTTTTATGGGTTTTTTTTTTTTTTTACATACTGTCACCCTAGCAGTACAGTGTCACCATGGTGACACTGTACTACTTGTGGGGGGTGATGAAGATTTTTTTTTTTTTTTTTTACACTGATTGCTTTTACACCCATAAAGGCTGTAAAAGCAATCATTTCTCCTTCTCTTTGGCTGTATTCTTGCAACCATTGAGAACTACTGTGTGAGCTGTGTGATTGGTCACAGCTTGTCACATGGTACAAGGCTGTTGTGAATAGCCTTGTACCATGTGACCTCTGTGATCATTCACAGATTTCACACGTAGTAAGCAATGATGTCAGAAGTGACATCTTGCTTACTATTCTGCATGTGATCACTGATTGGCCAATCAGTGATCACATGATCAGGACCTCACATAGAGGTCCCACCCGACGATCAGTGTTCCACTGTGTCCGGAAGACACAGCGGGCACCGGATTGCGGTGCTGCGCGCTCCCAGGGAGCACGCACAAGCAGGGGGCGGGGAGGCCGTTTATAAATTGCCACTCGACCCTGCACTGCCACCGTCCGACCATTTACATACAAACGGCTGGATGGGAAGTGGTTAAGTCCGATGAGATTTGAAAATTACAATTACATGGCTAAATAAAGACACTTATCCTTGTCTTACAGCTTAGTGAATCCAGCCTATTAACTGCATTGTAACCTAATATATTTTGTGTATAATGCCCAATATTGTATATATTATATTAGGGATTCTCAACCAAGGTTCCTCCAGAGGTTGTCAGGGGTTCCTTGGGCAATGAGTAATTTCTGCCTCTCGATTAGGTTCCCACTGACACCATTGATCTTTTTAGTTATCTGTCAGGTGGTAAATCTTCCCAGTGGCCACAAGTGTAAGGAACATTCTTCCCACTGATCATCACACAAACGTATCATGAGTAGTAGATAGTAATATTTATCAGGGGTTCCCCAAGACTCGAAAGTTAGTTCAAGGGCTACTCTGTGCCTCTTTTTAAACAGTTGAAAAAAGGCTGCAGTATATGCACAGAGTAAACTGTTTAGTGTATAATGACCATTCGATTGTATACATTACATGCACAGTGTATTCTGTTTAGTGTATTTCTGTATAATATATACCATTTGCATATAGTCTATACTAGAGGTGGGTGCCAGCGCGGGCACAGAATGCCTATTTCAATGTCACCCCAACGATCATTAATGAGGCATGCAAACAGGCTCAAACTGGTCCACAGGTGGATCCTCCATTGGGCCCCCAGTTCCCTACAAATTCAGTGTACTGCCATCGTTGTACTTGACAGCTCACAAAGTTATCAATTACAAAGCCTGGCCTGCCCCTCTCTACGCCCATGGCCAAGCTACTTGCATGACAATTCAGAGAGGTCCATAACTGATGTTCAATGCCCCCTGCCCTCCTCCCTATACCAGCATAGGCCTGCCTACAGATAAGCACGCCTGCCTTCAACTCTTCCTTTGCCTTTTGGAACTGCCAGCCGCAGGAGGTGTGAGGGCTCCTTCACACTGGAACGCAGTGCAGGAAACCATCATTCCATGCATATTTCCTGCATTGCGTTCAAAACACTGGGTGTGCGATCTGTTGTGGATGTCAATATAATCCTAACACCCCCCTAAATGCAGCGCGTATGCCTACACTGGATCGCATGGGACTGCAGTACCATGTACCCCAATGCAGTGCATTTTCGAAAAGTAGTGCATGCAATACTTTGGGTGCACTCCTGTGCAATTTCAGCCCAATGAAATGAACTGAATAGGCAGAAAAACACAATTAGAAAATATTTAATTAAAAACAGATTACAGGGCCATTAAGCAGGGGATGTGTATAGATTATTTTTGATGAATAAGAAATTGTTTAGTGTCACTTTAACTATATATGCATTTTCCATGGATTGTTGTACAGGTTATCGCATTATATGTATTCTTTACTGTTGCCTTTTATATAAAAAGTAAAAAAAAAAAAAAAAAGACTGCCAAAAAATAGTCTATAGATAGTTTACCAAGACCTCATTCACATGGATGGTTGGAGACACAAATCTGTTTCTAGGGTTAAAATCCTGCCATTTTTCTGTGCCTGGGAAGTGGCAGTACATCCAGCCACAAAAATGAATGGCAGTTTGTGGCAACATTCAGTTAAACACTGATGCTTCTTTGCATTGCTGTTTACATGTTCATGCACATATGACATATTCCCCAACCTGGAAGTTCTGCGTTTAGGGAATACATGATACATGCTAGCTTTCCTTTATTCCTCTGTTATAACTCTCTATCATTTACAAAAACCCAGAGAAGGAGCAGTAAACATAAGAAAGAGATGGCCAACACCATGAAATACTGCTGGTTACAGGACAATAGAATATCGCAGTACAAATATTGCCACAATCTGCCGTCATACATTCACTTACCCTGTCTGTGTGGGAAATCTGTAGTTCCCGTAAGATGTAATCTTTTTCTAGATGGACGGCAAGGCTGGACACCCTGACACAGTCATAGTCTTTAGTGCAATTCTCATCCGGCCAATAGCGAAAACATTTTTTCTGGAAGGTGAATGAAAGAAAGTTGTAGCTAATGAAATTTTCAGGTCCCTGTGCAAATTGTAATGATCTCAACCATTCATCAGTTGGGACTTCTGCCTTGGGGCATAAAACAAGAAGCCATGTCCTGGTGGCAATACCTTAGGATTTTGACAGTCTTAATTTATTATTTATTTCAGGTACTTATATAGCACTGTCAATTTATATTTATATTTATTATACAGTATTTATATAGCGCCAAAAAGTTTGCTCAGCGCTGTACAGAGTAGTGGGGGACAGAACATGAGACAATACAGTAACAAAACCGTATACGAGGGGTTCAAGGTCCCTGCTCTTTCGAGCTTACAATCTAGGAGGGAGGGGATAGTGGCACAGGAGGAAGTGGCTGTGGGGGATGGAGTAGGAGGAGTGGAGGAGATCGGCTGTTAGGTGAGGGGGGTGGGGTAGGCTTCCCTGAAGAGATGGGTTTTCAGGGTGCGCCTGAAGGTGAGAAGGGTAGGTGACGGTCTGATGGATTGTGGTAGGGAGTTCCAGAGGATGGGGGAAGTCCTGGAGAAGTCCTGAAATTTATGTTTGTAAACCGTTCCATGGCTGACTGGAGGAATTGGTTTCATGCACTTACATCATAACAAGGATATGAAGAAACATCAAAAGTTAGGGAGAAATGTCTTGCATGGAATTAAACTTTAAATTGCTAGTAATATTGAACAAAAGCTGCACTGATGAATATGCAAGTCTCAACTTTACTTGAAACAAGTACTGCACGTGACTTTATCCATCTAATGTGTGCTCCTCTACACTGTCTGAATCAAACGAAGAGGCTACAAAAAGTGTGTGGAGTAAATATCCTGGGACCAGTGTTAGAAATGCAAGCCTCACCATGGCTATAGATGGTTTGAATTTCGGCTGGTCCAGCAGGGACTGGCTAAGATTCAAACTATCTATGGGAAGGCTGATTGTACCTGAGTCAATCCACCAATTGACATGGACACAAGCAGCCTGTTGGATTTTGACATGCGATTATTGTTTGCAGCTATAACTACTAGCAATAATTACGGTGTTCTCCTGGCAGAGATGGCTCCCCAAGCTCCCCTGCTAGCAGAATACAATAGCTCCGCTGAAGGGATCTCCCCATCAACCCAGACTGCGTTGATGGGGGAATCCAGCAATTTTCTTTCCTGCAACTCGTGGTTGCAGGGAATAAAAAAAAAAAAAAAAATGAAAATTTTTTTTTTAAAAAATTGCATTTTATCTATGGCCTGCCTATGAAAGCAAAAACCCCAGTTCGAATTTTGATCAGTGTTTGGCCAACCTTAGGCCAGCGTGGACATGTAAAACACATTGTTTGGTCATTAGGTCTGCTCTTAGCGAATTTGTGTTTACAACAAAAGGTTAGAAATGACTTTGATCTAATCCGACCTCAAAGCATAACACCTGTGCTGGCTGCAGCTAACCCTTTACATATGACCTAAGGATCCTGCATGCTGGAAGTCATCCAATTATACTTGTCTGGTACATTTATCTAGAAAAACATTTACAATATTTACATTTCCCGCTGTATATTGAACATTTTTTCCATGGATTTTTTTTCTGTGGATAGCAAATGTAAATTACAGGTGTCTGCTTCTTGCACAGAAATAGACATAACAAGTCAAATTGTGTAATAAAAAGGAACATTTAATATTGTAATTTACATCAATTATACAGCTCTACCTTCATGTAGATGAAACCTCCTCTTATTAAAATCAAGACAAAGAAAGGGTGTCTATCTCCTTATTGTATTATATTGAAATTTTCACTAAATCTGACTGTATTATTTTGGGATCGCATCAGTCTCTTCCACAATACAGAAGGATTCATGACAAATAAAAGGAAAAGAAAGGCTTTTATTTTCTCCAGCTGTCACCATGCTGGTATTGTATGTAAGGGAGACCTCCGTTTTACAAGTAGAAACAGATCAGACAGGTCCTCATTTTTGATTGACAAGCAAGTGCTGGGAATTCTTATGTTGAACATTTTATAATGTCCCCTTAATTTTTTATTTATTTCAGGTATTTATATAGCGCTGTCAATTTACGCAGTGCTTTACATATATATTGTACATTCACATCAGTCCCTAACCCTCAAGGGGTGTACAATCTAAGGTTCCTAACTCACAGTCATACATACACATACTAGGGCCAATTTAGACAGGAGCCAATTAACCTACCAGCATGTCTTTGGAGTGTGGGAGGAAACCAGAGTACCCGAAGGAAACCCACGCAGGCACAGGGAGAACATACAAACTCCAGGCAGGTAATACCGTGGTTGGGGTTTGAACATCAAACACTAGTAATGCCAGGCAGAAGTGCTAACCATTTAGCCACTGTGCTGCCCACTTCCCCCTACACACACAAAGCCCTCTGACCATGCTGGTTTTAAACGGATTGCAGAGCTTTTATTGTTTGCTGTATTGGGTCACATTCATTAAAGCAGTATTAAACCCAAAAGCAAATATTGCAGCTTACCAATTCTTAGACATGATGGGTGCATTTTCTTTTCTAGGTTTTTTCCTTCCATTTTCATCTGGTGATTCACCCAGTAAGTCTGTTTTTCAAAAGAACAAGCTCTTCCAGATGTATCAGTTTACAAAGATGAGAGAAATCATTTAACACTGACAGGGGTGCTTACAATGATCATCTTTTAGTTATGTAAAACCTTTATCCCAAAAGGAAAAAAAGAACTGTTTGCTGTAATTGATTATAAAGTGTGAGCTGGAATTTGGCTGCAATTTGTTAGAGTATTTAAATCTGCTAGTACATCCCACCCCAGACTAACAATGCTGATGTCCGCTGTACACACTGTGTTCCTTCATTCAGAGGTGGGGAACTCTAATACAGGTGGTGTGTTACTGGCCAGATCACCAAGTTAACACAGAAGGAAAAAAGACCAAAATAAAAAAGAAAACGAATACAGCCACCACATCTAATGATTGACGAGCTGCAATATATTAATTTTTTTGGGTCCGGTTTACTCCTGCTAAAGAACTTTTGCTGTTTTTTGTGAAGTCTAAGCATTTTTTGTTTACAAACTGTTTATTTTGGCAACAGCATACAGAAGGTATACATTGGACATATACAAAAAAGTATTATAAAATGGTATAATTGAGAAATGTCTAAGCATTTTATGTGCATTTACCACAGGAAGACACAGGGCAACTCCCAAGTAAGCGTGCGCTCACTTAATGCTTATATACAAGGCCTGGCCAAATAGAGGCAGCTGTCTAAAGTACTGTGGTGGAGAGGGCACAACTGGGGCATGAGTCTCTCCTGCCTCTGCTCTCTGCAAGACTGATCTGTCAAAGTACAGACCAGCTGAGAGATGGCTCATCTAGTATAATGAATGGGGCTCTGCTGTCATTGTGATAGCTGTCTCTACCCTTTATCACAAGCTCCTGATAAACAGAGTAGACAGCTTCCACATGGACAGCACAGGCTCACTGATTACAATGGGGGAGCCAATCTCCCAGTGTAATCTGCAAGGCCAAAAGGAAAAAAAGAACTGTTTGCTGTAATTGATTATAAAGTGTGAGCTGGAATTTGGCTGCAATTTGTTAGAGTATTTAAATCTACTAGTACATCCCACCCCAGACTAACAATGCTGATGTCTGCTGTACACCCTGTGTTCCTTCATTCAGAGGTGGGGAACTCTAATACAGGAGGTGTGTTACTGGCCAGATCACCAAGTTAAAACAGAAGGAAAAAAGACCAAAAGAAAAAAAGAAAAACTAATACAGCCACCACTCCGTCCTGCTCTTCATTCATTTAGGCTCCATGTACCCGGACACTTCAGAATGCTGGAAAACGTTTAAAAAACATCTGTTTGGAAGGAGTTTGCATAAAGCGTTTGCGTTTAGAAGCGTTTTTTAAAGATAACCTCAGGAGACCTTCCAAAATGCCAAGAAAGCACTGAAAAACAGTAAAAAATTACCTATTTCAGACATTTTGAGAGAAATAGAGAGAACAGTATTTGTTGAGATTAGCTGTCTTATTTTTTTTTTTTTTTTGTGGTGTTTGGATGTGTTCCAGCTCATTTCTGTGCAGAAATTATTGCAGCAGTGTCTAACATTTTATATCTGACAAAAAAATTCCTGTAAACTCAACTGCCTGTAAATGATTACGAATACATGGACACATAGGAAAACATTAGGGAGAGTTCAGGGGCTGCTGAAAAAAACACAGAAAAGCTCCTAAACGTGAGTTTATCTGCTACAGTGTACATGGAGCCTAAGGCAGTATGAATGAAAACTACAGTAGCAGCCATTATTCATAAATGACTGTTCTGTGCAATTTGTAAACCTATAAAAAAAAATTACAAGTTTAACTTCTTGTACACATTTTTAATTTATTGTATTAATATAGTTTTAACCATTCACATGTAAACTTGAAAATCACAGAATAATTTCACTTTGGATGATCATTATCTTAATGACATCCTGGTCATTCTTCTTATCACTAAATCCCATTTATATAACCACGTCCAAGCACCAAACTAAATCGAATATACGCACAGATGTGCAGGCTTCCGGGAAAGAGGGTGTGGAGGGCACAATTTAGAATCTTCACCTTGGGTGCGACAGGACCTCTTCCCAGTGCTGATCATATACAGTATATCCCACGGTTGGCTCGCTGACAAGAGAAGTAAAGCCTGTCCCTGAACTTGGCATATATTGTAACTTCACTCAGCTGTCAAGATTCCTTATTTATTTGCATATATATGCAAGTCAAATCCTCTTTTTTTGTTTTTGTTTTTTTTTTTTTAAACTACTACATATCAGATGGCTGCTGGAGAATTTTTTTTATTTTGCTCATCAATATGAGGAGAATTTAAAAGGGAAATGTTTATTTTTTTTTTTCAATTGTTTTGTGTTTAAACCTTTATAATTTTATAATTTACCGTATTTTTCGCTCCATAAGACGCACCTGACCATAAGACGCACCTAGGTTTTAGAGGTGAAAAACAAGAAAAAAAAAATATTCTGAACCAATGGACTGCAGACACAGTACAGGGGATGACCAGACTGCGGACATAGTACAGGAGATGCAGAGACTGCAGACAGTACAGGAGATGACCAGAGACTGCGGACACAGTACAGGAGATGACCAGAGACTGCGGACACAGTACAGGAGATGACCAGAGACTGCAGACAGTACAGGGGATGACCAGAGACTGCGGACATAGTACAGGAGATGACCAGAGACTGCGGACATAGTACAGGAGATGACCAGAGACTGCGGACATAGTACAGGAGATGACCAGAGACTGCAGACAGTACAGATGACCAGAGACTGCGGACATAGTACAGGAGATGACCAGAGACTGCGGACACAGTACAGGAGGACCAGAGATGAAACCAGACCAGAGACTGCAGAAACAGTACAGGGGATGACCAGAGACTGCGGACACAGTACAGGAGATGACCAGAGACTGCGGACACAGTACAGGAGATGACCAGAGACTGCGGACACAGTGCAGGAGATGACCAGAGACTGCGGACACAGTGCAGGAGATGACCAGGAGACATGACCAGAGACTGCGGACACAGTGCAGGAGATGACCAGAGAGTGCGGACACAGTGCAGGAGATGACCAGAGACTGCGGACACAGTGCAGGAGATGACCAGAGACTGCGGACACAGTGCAGGAGATGACCAGAGACTGCGGACACAGTGCAGGAGATGACCAGAGACTGCGGACATAGTACAGGAGATGACCAGAGACTGCAGACATAGTACAGGAGATGACCAGAGACTGCGGACACAGTACAGGAGATGACCAGAGACTGCGGACACAGTACAGGAGATGACCAGAGACTGCGGACACAGTACAGGAGATGACCAGAGACTGCGGACACAGTACAGGGGATGACCAGAGACTGCGGACATAGTACAGGAGATGACCAGAGACTGCGGACATAGTACAGGAGATGACCAGAGACTGCGGACACAGTACAGGAGATGACCAGAGACTGCGGACACAGTACAGGAGATGACCAGAGACTGCGGACACAGTACAGGAGATGACCAGAGACTGCGGACACAGTACAGGAGATGACCAGACTGCGGACACAGTACAGGAGATGACCAGAGACTGCGGACACAGTACAGGAGATGACCAGAGACTGCGGACACAGTACAGGAGATGACCAGAGACTGCGGACACAGTACAGGAGATGACCAGAGACTGCGGACACAGTACAGGAGATGACCAGAGACTGCGGACACAGTACAGGAGATGACCAGAGACTGCGGACACAGTACAGATGACCAGAGACTGCGGACACAGTACAGGAGATGACCAGAGACTGCGGACACAGTACAGGAGATGACCAGAGACTGCGGACACAGTACAGGAGATGACCAGAGACTGCGGACACAGTACAGGAGATGACCAGAGACTGCGGACAGTGCAGGGGATGACCAGAGACTGCGGACACAGTACAGTGCAGAGACTGCGGACACAATGACCAGAGACTGCAGACAGTGCAGGGGATGACCAGAGACTGCAGACAGTGCAGGGAATGACCAGAGACTGCAGACAGTGCAGGGAATGACCAGAGACTGCAGACAGTGCAGGGAATGACCAGAGACTGCAGACAGTGAAGGGATGACCAGAGACTGCTGACCTTTGGGGAGGGAGGGGGAGCGGGTACTTGAATTTGACAGGTACCCGCTCCCACTTCCGCGGAGTTGCCTTCCCTCTTCTTCCCGGGCCGGCTTCTGTGACAGCCGGGTGCCCACTGCGCAGGTGCGAGAAGCGCTTCGCTTTGTGAATGGGCCGGCGCCTTCTGGGACCTTTCATTCACAAAGCGCAGCACATGCGCAGTGGGCCCCCGGCTGTCACAGAAGCCAGCCGGGAAGACTGTGCAGAGCTGGAGCGAGGAACATGTAAGGCCCTGCAGGAGACAACAGCTGAGCGGCCGGCCCGGTATTCTGACATGGTGGCCGCAAAAATACCGGACCGGCCGCTTTATATTCGCTCCATAAGACGCACGGACATCTTCCCCCCTTTTTTGGGGGGGGGGGGGAAGTGCGTCTTATCGTGCGAAAAATACGGTATATCATTTGTTTTCATTACTTGTATAACATCTTTATTCAACAAACATTTAATACTGAGCATGTTCATAACAGTTGGTACAAGACTGCACCTGGCTTTTTAATAAGAAAGCCCAGCGGTGCCTTCTCGCTTACTGACTGCCTCTGTCTGATGTCGAATTGAAAAGCCTTACAGGTCTGTATGAACATGCAGGCAGGAATGGAGGTTTTAATCTTATAACACATTCCAAATATTAGGGGGGGGGGGGAGGCAGGCTGCTTCTGTGTTTCATTTTATTATCTTAAGAGATTCCCCACTCTGTAAGAACAGAAACAGAAAACAAATTACATTTTCTGTTAATATATACTATACACTTTTTACTCAAAAGATGGCCATAGACATGCCAGCAGGAAAAGATGGTTGGACAGAAATGATTGGACTGCTCTGAAGTTTTCTACTACTGCTATAGGACATGAGCTATGGACAGGTAGGCAGCCAGCATCAGTGATTCTAAATTAGTGATGATCTCAGGCATGTTCGATTCCTAGTCCAAACCCACCTGAGCTACCCCGGCAGGAAGCCATCACTGCACAAAGCCAATCATAAGCAGCCGAGGCGTTCCCTGCCACTTGCATAGGATTGGTTGTGTGCAGTGACAGCTTCCTGGTAGGATAGCTTAGGTGGGTTAAGTCTAGGAACGTGCCGGAACATACTCTCTCCATACATGCCAGAGGTCATCCCCATTCTAAACCGCAGTACTCAACTACTGTAAAACAGGTCACTTTTGGACCACAGCTGTTCATGAATGGTGTGACTGTGGATACAAATTACATCACCTGTGCATGTTGAAAAAAAAAAAAAAAGTCTTAACGCGTCATTAAACTCAAATAATTAAAAACGGTCAATAAATGCTATATCACATTGTGCTCATACTCACTCATCCACCAGGAACTCTATTTCCCGTAGACTGCAAAAATCCTGGTTGATCCCACTGTTCCCTCCTTGTCTGTGTCCCCTCTGCAGCTAGAGATTGTGTAGACCAGCTGTTGACATCTACTGAGTATGCTCCAGTTTCAGTTCCCTTCTACACTGTTAATTTCCTACCTTTTCTTATCTGTGCAGCCCATGTGACTACAAATGTTTTTTTTTTTTATATTAAATGAAATACACTGGCATGATCTTTATACATAAATAGAAGGGATGATGGCAATTAAACTCTTAGATGGTAAGCTCCAAGGAGCAAGGTCCTCCTAACCCTCTTGTATTGAACTGTATTGTTGCTGTATTGTCTTCAGTTATATATTGTAAAGCGCTGAGCAAACTGTTGGCGCTATATAAATCCTGTATAATAATAATTAAACATTGTATGTGTTGTATTACCTGTTGTGGGTATAAGGGTGCACAACTGGAGGAGGAAACGCAATCTATGGTTAATTGCCCACGCTCATGTAATTAACTCTTTGTGTACTGAAGTTCTGATCTGGGTTTGCATTATCCTATTTTTGGTTTACTCTGCAGGGTATTCAGACTCTTTTATAAAGTGAAGTGACAACTAGGCAGCCACATTCAATAGGCTGTAGTGGCCTACAGAAACGCATGGACAGACCAAGAAGCTTACCCTGGACCTCTCCATCTCTTTAGTAGTCATGACAATGACATGAGTGTTCTCTTGATACACCATGGACCAGAAATCACAAACAGTGTTCTGTAAACAACCCTGTGTGGCTATGTAGACTTTACAGGGCTGGTTCCCCCTGGAATCATCCAGAGCACTCTGCAGAGAGACAAAACACACATTGAAAGCAATCAATACAAAATATGCAGTGTTCTGCTTTAATGCAATGCAGCTATTTTGCATGCATGAAACGTCACTAACAGGTACCTATCAATATCGTGTTGCCATTAAGCAATTACCATTGTTTTCAAAGGCAGGGAAAAGGTTGCCTTCATGACCATCGTACAATTCCTTCTACCAATCCTCTTGCAACATTTCCAAATGTACAAACATTCAGAATTCTGTGACATTTCTGTAACTAATGCCATGTAATTCTTCAGCTATAAATGTATTTTTTGATTGCTATTCAGCAATATGCAATCTGTAACACGGGCTCTTGTATCAGTACAATAGCAGACGAAAAAAGACAGTGTACGATCAGCAATCTTTCATTTCTTTGTGTAGCTGGGACTAGAAGAAGCTGTGCGCACAGAACCTGTGTATCCAAATAACCTGATAGCCTGGGTGTCTCTCGCTCTCAAAAACTTGCTAATTGGTTACAAGTGATGGTCTAACTATACAAAGACTCTGCTGTGCCAGAAGTACAAAATGAATGACAAAGTGTTACTAAACCCACAACAGTAACATCAGTCTGTATATGTAGTAAAGCATGCTTGTTATACTCACTGTGGAACCTAAGGGGTTAATCCTCTGCATTGTGTAAAAAGGATGTTTGATCCTGACTTCTCTAATTCCCCCCTTCTTCCAGTGTTTCCTAAATATCTCCTGACAAAACAGAGGCTTGGGGCAAGCTGCACATGCTCAGTTTGGTGTGTATTGCTAGAAAGGTTTTTTTTTTTTTTTCTTGGGAGAGTGCATGTAATCAGCACAGGGCCAATCAGCACTCTACAGAGGTCAGGGATCCTGCATCCTCCCACAGGAGAAAGAAAACTCCTCCTAAAATCTGTAACCAGTGCTCTGCTGGACACTGATAGAAGGCACAAGACTGCTCTAACTGGTGATGAGAAAACGTATTTAGCAGTCTATATTTACTAAAGTATTTGCATTTCCATGTTGTGTGTACTGTGGGAGACCAGATACAGGAAATGCAGGGAAAACACAGCAAACTCTGTGCTCCTGCGCTTCAAGATGGACTTGGCTAGGGTTATGGTACCATCACAGATATCCTGCACTCCTTGCTGCCGTCAACAGACCGGGGTAGTCCAATGTCACTGGATACAAAGAAAAACTAACAGAGGGTGCACTGGCCTAGCACATTATTGTAAAAAATGTATTGGCAGGATAAAAAGTAAGTATTGTACTCACAATAGGCAAACAAGCCAAAGGCACATCACACTAAATAATGGTGTCCAGTGCACATAGCATATATGTCCAAAAAATGGAACCCTGGACTTCCACCAGGCTATGTGCACCCTCTGTTTGTTTTTCTTTGTATAGTGAATACAGGGTCCTGGGTTTAGTAACACTTTAATGATGTAATGGCTTTCATGTAACCTTTCGCCTTGCTGAATATATTTTTTTCTTGTTATGTAACTTTTTATGTAAAACAAAAAAAAAAAGAAAAGAAGAATACCCAATTTAAAATCTAAAAAAATTGCCAATTGGGGGATGAAACAATGGGGATATTCTTCAATCAATACATGTGCTAAAATGGCCATATCTTAACAAGAGACTCCCATTACAAGGGATGTAGCAGGCTTGATTTCATTCATCTAATATTCAGTTTTTCCCTGCTAATAGAACGGAGACAACCCAAAGCAGCATGGTCTGCCTCATAGAGAATCCCATAAATTGCTATTGACAACCCACAGCTACTGATTTCAGATTAAGTTGATACACGGAAATCCCTGAGTAATAAAGGTTTCGTATTTTCAGAACCTGACATCTACATACCAATTGTGCTCCTTCCTGCTACACCAACAGCTTAGTTCCTCTTTTCTTTAATTGATCATTAACAGTTTTCAACATTTCACGCACATTACCTTGATGTAGTTTGCATTGATGTAATCTGACCCTGGAATGCTCTCATCCATGTCTCTCAAAGTCACCCTCGTAGTGTCAACTATGCACAAATGATTAAAAAAAAAAAGCCACTGCTTAATTTTTGTTTGAGAACACAAATGTAAGCTTCCATTTAAAGTAAGCCTGTCACTTGTCACACAAATAAAAGCAAAGAAGACAACTTCCAGTGTCAACCAGTACTAAAGCTCAGTCCACCACCCCAATCCCCACTGCATCTCAAAGGTGCAAAGTTGACTTCTGAAAGTCGTTCTTTGCATATAGCTAGGCATTCCCCCAATGTGATAGTGCTCAGACCTAGCAACAGGATTCCCAGTCACCAAGCACTGTATTGTTAGACTGGGCTGTATAACATGGAATGGGCATATCTGCTTCATACTTGGAAAGTGGATATTTTTATGGGTCTTTCAGTTGCTGATGAAGGTAGCTATAGAGCTACAGGGTCACTTTGTGACATCCTGTGACACGTTTACTTGCAAAAAAACACTACAAGGAACTGCTGAAGGCATTCCAAATGAAAATGTACACATCTGTACCTAAAGCAGAACCCCAGCCAAATGCCAAAGTATGCAGATGAAATGAATCTCTACATCTCCAAACACTGATCCATGTTGGACTGATAGCATTGTGCAATGTAATAGAGTCCAACTGATGCCCCATATAGAACCTCCCACTTTCAATGTATTTTTCTGGTCTGCAGGGGGAATATGGGAAGTCAATATGAAGATACATTTAGGATAATTATATTAGAAGTATGAATGTATACCTGGACTACGGGATGAGCTTTTATATCTGTCTAGATTCACAACAGTGATGATGACAACAGTGGGTTCTGGAGAATGTGGTGGGGACGGCCCCTTTCCATTTGACACAAAAAAAAAACACTAACTTAAAAAGGAGATGTATGGCCAAAGCTACTTTGGCTGTACTTCTGCTGTTGGTCACAGGAGTGCAGTTTGTTCTGCACTCTTGCGATCCATTTTCAGCCAACAGCAGACTTAAATCCGCTATCGGCTGACATCACTAAGCCTGTTCACATGGTCAGGATTCACCCAGAAGCCTGGAGTGGCACCTGGCTCAGCCTGAGCCACCCCCTCCACAGCCCAGCACTCCAGGGAGAACTGGAGGGGCAGAGCAGAGAGCCGGAGACTGACAGTCATCACTCTCTGTTCAGAGCAAAGGAGAAGAACTGAGCGATCAGCAGTGTTTAAACGCTCAGTTCTCACTGCAGGCGGGGGACAGATGCAGCATCGGATCAATGCTGCATCCCCCAAGTTGAGAATAAGTGTTTTTTGTATGTCCATACTTCTCTTATAAAAACATACTACATAAAACTTTCTGCTATAGATTCAAAGATCTCAACAAAAACACTGTTCTTTCACCAAAATATGAATTACTCAGCCATGGCAGTATGACAAAGTAAAAATTGCTTTTGCTTTGCATCACTCTAAGCCACTGATCTGGTTATAGTCTCAAAAGGAACCTGTTACACATAACACAGGTGATCGAGCATGTTTCACTACTCCACAGCAGCTGTCCAAGCTTTCAAAAGCGATTTCTGGATAAATACGTTGGTAAATTAGGACTTGATATGAACGTTCAAACAATAACTATACTCAAATCTACTCTCACCACCATTCTAAGCCTATCCTATCCACCCTGTAAAGATCTGTATACCAACCTATGCTGAGGATGGTCTGGTCACAAGATCGGGTCCAAGCGCCAGCTTCAGTGAAGAGGAGAGATCGCTGACAACAGCTGCAGAGCCTGCGCGATGACTTCACCCATTGGCTTACTATGCGGCATCCGTTGCTAGCTGTCCCTCCTCTACATGGAAGCCAGCTCTAGGGACTGATCATGTGACCGGACCAGAGTACCCCTAGAATAGGTAAGTATACAGATCTTTCCATTCATAGGGGATACAGAATAGCCCATTCATAGGGTATACAGAATAGCCTTAGAATGGAGTGGTAGCAGATTTATGTATCGTCAGTGTTTGAATGAACTTCCACTCTAACATGAGCAGACTTCTTATGTGCTTTTCTTCCCTAATTTAAATCTTTATTTATTTCAGGTACTTATATAGCGATGTCAATTTACGCAGCGCTTTACATATAAATTGTACATTCACATCAGTCCCTAACCCACTAGGGGTGTACAATCTAAATTGTTTTGTTTTTGTACCAGGAGGACATCTCCATACTTACAAGGCAAAATGTTCTTGTATCTGTTTTTGCACTTGTTCTCTGGCCTCTGTCCTTCCTTTCTAGGATATAGTAGTTTACATTCTTGCTGCTGCAGCATCTGAATTAAAAGGCATAGGCAAAATCAATAGGCACAGCAGAAACATAGACCTATATGCACAGTTATTACAAGAAACAATATGCAGGGTTCACCTGCTACCTTGGCCACCATAAACTGCCATCTGACCCAAATAACATATATAGCACCTCCAATTTAACAACCTTCTGTGCATTCATTCCAGCTATTCTCTTCTACATGTCAGGTACTCTGGCACTTTTCACTGTATATTTATAGCTCTCTGACATCTCATAGCTAGAACAGTTTTTATTCTAGTTTAAATTATTCATTCCAAATGGCAGATCAGGAGAGCAGTACAAAGATTTCAGGGAAGAAATTCATTCATCTTATTGTATATACAGATTTGGGATTATCACATTTTACAAAACCAGAGTCTTGACTTTTACATAAGGCATACGTTTGGGTTTAGGTCATTAAAAGAATACCTCAAACTCCTCCCAGAATCCTTGCTTAGCCTTCTCTGTGTTGTCAGCCATTTTGTTCAGTTCTCGAACTCGAGTATCTATGTTGGCTGCATTGATTCGCGTTGCATTGAATGGCTGAAAACAAGCACAGGGTATAAATGACTTAACAAAAGATTTGATCAGAGTCAAACAAGGGCAACTGGTTACGATGAGCCTTCATGTTACAACATGACATCATAGATCCGGTTTAATACAAAACCTTAGCTGGTGTGGACAAGTACACAAAAAACATGATTACAACGATTAGATCACCTAACTGTATGGTATGTTTGGACTGTATATCCAGCATTATATGAGAAGAAAAGGAATTTCTTAGGTGCTCAACAAATTTGACACTTAGTATGTACTAAATTCAATACAAAGCTTTATTCCATATTAACATAGAAAAAAAAAACAACATCACATTAGTAGTTTTGAAAAATATAAAACCAACGTAATACGTCATATGGCTTGAAGTTCACAATGCAACAATTCCAACTCGGCAAGTTTCGCCAAATTTCTGGCTTCTTCAGGAGATTTACAGGTTGCATGTAAATGCCACTAGAAAACTAAAATACAACAATAAACATTTGTTCATTATATTATTGGATGTGATGTAGGATGTGTGTCTGTGTACCCAAACTAATCAATCATATTCCAGGTGGCTGCTATTGAAAACAAAATGTATTAGTTTAGATTGACTACAAAAAATAATTAGGAGTTGTTTACCTGCTTCAGATGCACCACAGCTCCTGACCTTTCCACCATTGGGTTTTTCTTGTAGTGCTCCAACAGATCGGTCAGTGTATCAAAGCGTTCTCCCCCTCCCACATCATATTTACCATCCGGCTGGAAAAACAAGGGATCAATAATGGTCAACAAAGGATTATATAAAAGGTTCAACACTTCATAAATATTTATTAGCTGAAAACAACAATTAATATTTGAAGAAAATCAGAAGTGTGAGCATAATTCAACTACTGAAAGATTTGTTTTATTATATTCAGTATAGCTAATCACTATTCCCATAAAATATGTCATTTGGGGGGTGGGGGGGTGGGGGGTCTCTGGGTCAGTCTGAGTAACTCAGTCAAATACAGAAACTTTTATTCAACAAACTGAAAAAGCAAAACTTTTCAAACAAGTAAGCTTTCTTAATGTGCTTTAAAACTCTGCTTTTATAGATCTCAGTAAGCCATTAAATGGCATCTGTACCTTTAGACCTTCTGCTAACATGGAGGGCTACCAGTGAACAGCACTCTGCTACTAATAAACGTCAACATACAAATTTAGACTGGAGTAGTAAAGGTGCCCAAACAACTTTTAGTTTGACTGTTCAACATTCCAATCAAAACCATGAAAAAAAAAGAAGCATGCGTTGGCTATTTTGTATCAGGTTTAGAGTTAGAAAACTCAACTTCAGACTGGTGGTAGTATGTGTTGGAATACTCTAAAAACATGACATTTTACATTTTTGAGAGCATGAAAGAAAGAACTAATAATTCAGCCAGAATTGCAGTCACCTAAAATGTTTAACAGAAATGCGATATGTATGACAATATCTAAACCTTAACTGTCTCATTCCAATAAATATCTAAAATACAGGAGGATTAACAAAATGCACACTCCATCACATACACTAGATTGTCAAAAGTATTGGGACACCCCTCCAAATCATCGCATTCAGGTGTTCCAATCAGCTCCATGGCCACAGGTGTATAAAATCAAGCACCTAGGCATGCAGACTGCTTCTACAAACATTTATGAAAGAATGGGTCGCTCTCAGGAGCTCAGTGAATTCAAGCATGGTACTGTGATAGGTTACCACCTGTGCAATAAATCCATCTATGAAATTTCCCTGCTTCTAAATATTCCACAATCAATTGTTAGTAGTATTAAAACAAAATGGAAGCAACTTGGAACAACAGCAACTCAGCCATGAAGTGGTAGGCCACATAAACAGAGCGGGGTCAGCGCACGCTGAAGTGCACACAAGTCACCAACTGTTTGCAGAGTCAATGGCTAAAGACCTCCAAACTTCATGTGGCCTTCAGATTAGCACAACAGTGCATAGAGCGCTTCATGGAATGGGTTTCCATGGCTGAACAGCTGCATCCAAGCCTTACATCGCCAAGTGCCAAGCAAAGAGTCGGATGCAGTGGTGTAAAGCACACCGCCACTGGACTCTAAAGCAGTGGAGACGTGTACGCTGGAGTGACCAATCACGCTTCTGTCTGGAAATCTGATGGAAGTGTCTGGGTACTTTTCTGACTGCATTGTGTCAAGTGTAAAGTTTGGTGGAGGGGGGGATTATGATGTGGGGTTGTTTTTCAGGGGTTGGGCCTGGCCCCTTAGTTCCAGTGAAGGGAACTCTTAAGGCGTCAGCATACCAAGACATTTTGAACAATTTCATGCTCCCCAACTTTGTGGGAACAGTTTGGGGATGGCCCCTTCCTGTTCCAACATGACTGCGTACCAGTGCAGAAAGCAAGGTCCATAAAGACATGGGTGAGTGAGTTTGGGGTGGAGGAACTTGACTGGCCTGCACAGAGTCCTGATCTCAACCCGACAGAATACCTTTAGGATTAATTAGAGCAGAAACTGCGAGCCAGGCCTTCTCGTCTGACATCAGTGCCTGACCTCACAAATGCGCTACTGGAAGAATGGTCCAACATTCCCATAGACACACTCCTAAACCTTGTGGACAGCCTTCCCAGAAGAGTTGAAACTGTTATAGCTGTAAAGGGTGGGCCAACTCAATATTGAACCCTACGGACTAAGACTTGGATGCCATTAATGTTCATGTGCGTGTAAGGGCAGGCATCCCAATACTTTTGGCAATATAGTGTAAGTTAGCAGAGCTGCATATGTCCTGGATAGTCGTCTTTTTCATCTGTATACATACCTTCCATTGAAGGAAGAAGGTGGAACAGGCATAAGAAGAGGTAGTCTGTACCTACCTCTTTCCCACTGTAAACATCTCAAATCTCAAAATAAATAACACCCAAGCTTTAGAATTCCAACTGTAATTGGTGTCTAATTGATAAGTATATGACAAATACATTTGGTTTTAAAGGTGGAAAAAATGCCTATATCAAGGTGACGAAGAAAGAGGTGGTGCCCTATGTGCAGTATGAAAGCTTTATAAAAAGTGTAGTAATACAGGCCACTCACAAAGCATAAGTAGGTTTGCGCTTGTAAATTAATAAGCATCCACTGTAGTGAAGGAGTGTGAAGCCTCTGGATAGATGGTGGTCACCGGCATCTGACGGTGGTACAGGTGGCTTCCAGCACGTCCTCCTAGTTCTGGGATTCCCTCAGTTGAGGCGTCACTTCTGGTCATGTAATGGCAGGGGTTGGCGCGCGTTCGGAGCATGCATGCTCCCTCATCAGGCCATAAGGACGCCATCTTGATGTGGGGCATTTGTACATTTGTAGGGAAGGCGTAAGGGAACTCCTCCTACAAGCAGACAGCTTGAGGAGTAAATGACCCACAGCAAGAGGGCTATCAGTAAGCGCAGGAGTGGACAATTATGGGACAAAAATGTAATAAAACTAAGTAAGAAAACTAAACAAACTAAAATTTATCACTTTTATTATCCCCCATTTGTCCACTCCTGAGCTTACTTATAGTCCTCTTGCTATGGGTCATTTACTCCTCAAGCTGTGTCTTCCTGTAGGACAGTGTTTCTCAACTCCAGTCCTCATGGACCCCCAACAGGTCATGTTTTCAGGATTTCCATTATTTTGCACAGGTGATTTGATCAGTTTCACTGCCTTAGTAATTACCAAAGCTGTTTCATCTGAGGGAAATCCTGAAAACATGACCTGTTGGGGGTCCATGAGGACTAGAGTTGAGAAACACTGCTGTAGGAGAAGTTGCCTTACTCCTCCCCTCGCTGAGCGTACAAATGCCCCACATCAAGATGGTATCCTTAGGGCCTGATGAGGTGCACGCATGCTCCGAACGCGAGCCAGCCCCTATCATCACGTGACCAAAGAGACGTCTCAACTGAGGGAATCCCGGAACTAGGACGTTCTGGAGCCACCAGCACCACCACCAGATGCCGGTGACAACCATCCATCCAGAGGCTTCACACTCCTTCACTACAGCGGATGCTTATTAATATACAAGCGCAAAACCTACTTATGCTTTGTGAGTGGTCTGTATTACTACACTTTTTATTCATTAAAAATCCTTCATACTGCACTTACATGGTGCCGCCTCTTTCTTCCTGATCTTCCACAGGGCCTCTCTAGCTCGTTATTGGACGGCTGACTCCACTTCACGGTGCATCAGAATTACCTATAGGACACAAAGGACATTTTATTTGTACATTTATTACAGTATATTGTTCATGATTTTTTTTCCCTAATTTTATCACCATTGATTATGTGCTTATACATACTATTGTATGCCACATCTACCTCCTTACTCTGTCTCGGAGTGTGCCAAATCTCCTACTTGCCTTTATATCAAGGTGACCTCCACCCCCTGTTCACCACCCCAACACACCCAAGTACACTTTAGTAACAGCACAGCATGGACAAAAAAGTTCTCGATTTTGCCAAGCCTTGCCTCTAAGTGGGTAAAATTGGAAGGTTCATCTACTGTTGAATACCTGGAATCGAATCATGACATGAGTGACACGAGTTTTCCGCTCTCCATTTTCCAGCTTCTCTTCACTTGTTAGGACAGACAAAACAAAATCCCCCGGTTTGCTCTGACTTTCTCTCACCAAGAAACTTCCAGGCTTTCCTTTTTCTAAAAGTAGCTTCTCAGCCTCTCGTCCGGAAAGATGCCCATGGTACCACCTAAACAGAAAATAAAGATTTCAGAAAAGTAACAGCTGTACAATATAGGTTTTGTGATGGTTTGTAGCATACGGGCTGCTTTGAGTATTTCTGTATCTGCGGATTTCCCGGTATTTTAACACACAACAGTCCTAAGAGTTTACTTGGAATGATAAAGAAAACAAAGCAGGTCCAGAAAGCGGCAGGTCTCGGGAGGGAAACACCTTGTTTATCGAGAGGAGTTAGAAAATGACCAGACTGGTTTGAGCTGAAAAGGCTATGGTAGCTCTGAAAAAACCCTACAACTGACATGAGCCAAAATTCATCTCAGAATGTACATGTCAAATTCCAAGCAGGATGGGTTGCAACAGCAGAAGACAACATCAGGTTTCACTCCTGCAAGCCAAGAGTGGGCACAGGCTTACCAAGCGTATACCATTGAAGATTGAAAAAATGTTGCTTCGTCTGATGAATCTCGATTTCTGCTGATGCCCACAGATAGTAGACCAGTAACCATCTCTGAATCCAGTAGAGGGTTTTTGGGGATGTGATAGAGAATAGGAGTTCTGACAGGAGGAAGCAAACCCTGCCTCTACCAACATGGCTGCCTCCACACAAAGACAGTGCAGAAAAAAGACACAGTAAGTTAGTGAACGGGAAAAAGATCAACTGCAGGGACACCACAGGGATGAGCTTGTTCATGTTTGGATCCTAGCCTGAACCCACCTGAGCAAGTCCACCAGGAACATACCACTTGTACTAAGCCAAACATCTGTGGCTCGGGCATTCCTGCCCCGCAGCTGCACACATACAAGGAGCGTGTACAGATGAGGCTGCAGAGCAAGGAATGCCTTGGAAGCTTGATTGGTCCAGTACAATGACAGCTGGAACGCTTATTCGAAAGGGTTCAGATTAGGATCCAGACATGCCTAAGCTCACCCCTACTGTTAACTAGTCTTTTGCCCTCTGCCTAATTTTTTTTTTGGCACATATTCCAGAGATCGGTTCCTCTTTAAGCTGTTTGCTGCATGAATAAAAAGAAAAAGAAAATACCCTTTCTGCAAACCATATTTAAAGAGTCTGCTTAACAGTTATTTAAGCTTGCCAAAGTACAAGCAGGAATATTGTTTTAAGGGAGAGAGTCTATTGTAATACAAAATCACACGACAAGTACAGAAGAATAGGCATCCAGCTAAATTCTCTGTTAGAATTCCACTTCAACATGGCTTGAACATTCTTTAATCCAAGAAGCCTCTGGCAGCCAAGAAGCCTTTCCTGGGATTAGCTAGCAGAGCTTCCATTAACAAGGGCGGCTAATGGGGGTTGTTGCCCTTTAGTTTTTATTTTTGCAAAGTAAAAGAAAATGTACTCCCTAAGGTGGGAGAAGACAAAGATTGTGGGCACAATTGTATGAACAATCATGAACAAAGCATGTCTTTTCATAAGCAACAGAACAAGTTGAACACATAAAAGGCCAAGCAATATTATATTATATTAACTTTATTGCACCAGGAAAACCTATTTAAAACAAAACTAAAGAAAAAAAAAAAAAACTTTTATTGAACACAATTATACGTTTTATCAGTGGCATGCTTATATCAACAGGATCTTAGAATCACTGTACAAAGTACACGGGACTGTCATTATGCTGAACTCGAACAAAATAAAAGATTGAACTTTGCAGGAAAAAACTCAGTAAGGGGCCAAATTAGTTTAATTAAAGGCTTATCCACAGAACTTCAAGAATAAAAGAGGCCCTTTCGCCACATCCTACCCTCACTGCTAAACATCAACTAAAAAACTTCAAGCACACTCATGCTTGGACCCCTTAATTCACCAGTGGAAGCTTACACAATTTGTTGCCAAAAAATTCAAACAGCATACAATATATCAGATAAGCGTAGCACTCAAAATACACAAAATATATAAATAACATTAAATGCTCCAAAAGTCCCAATAAAAATTCCAAAGATTGGAAATACTGATGTACCCAGAAAGCAAATTTTTGTGTTATCTTTCCACACCATCCACCATTGGTGAGCAATACAAAGCCTCTTACTGGAATGTATCCACCATCTATAAATCAAGTGGTCAAATGACAATTGTTAAATAGAGCTTTCCAACTCTCATAGGCATCTCTAGTTCCACAGCCTCCCCCCCCCCCCCGACCTCATCTGCTCTCAAGTTCAGCTGGGCCACTTTTTCCTGTACCTGGATGTCACTTGTTTTCCTCACCAGTGGTCTAGAGGCATCCAACTCCCTTATGTGCGGATTGTCTTCATCTCAAAACTGCTCTTCCTGGGGCATCTGTGTTTTCTCCCATGAACTCAGCTGGGCTCATTTCCAGCTTTCCAATGGTTTCAATTTGTTCCACCAAGTCATTTGAGTTCCATTGACCCATTCCAAAAAATATTGTACTTGTTTTTTTACTTTTTGTGGTTTTCAATTCATTAAAGCGGATCTCTGGGGAAAACAAAAATGCTCCCCTTAAACCAGCCATAGATGGTTCGAATATCAGCTGGTTCAGCAGGGAGATTCGAGCCATCTATGGGCAAGCTGATTGTACCCAATTAGATTTTTGTATGACTTGGGTACAACCAGCATGTCAGATTTTTACATGTAATTATTGCCAGTGGCTATAGCTGCTAGCAATAATCATTGTGTTCTTCTACCAGGGACGGCTCCCCGTTCTTCCAAACACAGTCAGTGTTGATGGGGGGATCCCTCCCGTGGAGCTATTGTGTTCTCCTAACGGGGGGGGGGGGGGCGGAGAGCCATCCCTGCTGGGAGTACACAGTGAATATTGCTAGTGGCTATAGTCATTCGCAATAATCGCATGTGAAAATCTGACAGCCTGGTTGTACCCAAGTTGTACAACAATCAGAGTAGATACAATCAGCCTGCCCATAGATTAGGGATGTCAAACTGGTGGCACTCCAGCTGTTGCAAAACTACAAGTCCCATCATGCCTCTGTCTTTAGGAGTCATGCTTGTAACTGTCAATCTTTCAGTGCCTCATGGGACTTGTAGTTTGGCAATAACTGGAGGGCCGCCAGTTTGACACCCGTGCCATAGATGGTCTGAACCTCAGCTGGTCTCCACAGTCTCCTCTTTCCTACACTCTCTCTGTTTATCACAGGTTCTCCGACATGGAGTTCAATTTTGAGCCCATAGCCCTGCAAGGGACATGAGGATGAGAAGGAACAGTGGCTGGAGCATAGGGAAAAGGACCGGTTGCAGTGGACCGGGCAAATAAAACTGCTTTTCACAGCCCTAGACCTACACAAGCATTTAACCCTTGCAGTGTAGCGGGAGCATTATTGCGCCTTGCAGAGATGGTCTTTAATCAGGTAACCATTGACGTACATGAAACTAAACAATAAAAAAACAACAGTAATCGGTATGTAGGTATCTGGTCTTGCTCTAAAAATGGCTGGATCTGGTAACTGTCATGTCTAGAATGTGTCATGACAAGGGACAGAGGTGGATAGGTTCATCATAGCAAACAACGTGTGCTCCTGGATTGAAAACCGCAATGCATCAACTAAAATTCCCACTTAAAGTATGAAATCTGTGTACTATAGATTGGGGACAGTGGGAGATGGAAACCAAACAACTGAAAGCAAAGAACAGAACAAGTTTACATTTATGGATCAATATTAGTGTAGAAAACAAAAAGGGGTAAACGCGGAGTTTCTTTTCAAACTGTGAAAAAAAAAGCAAAAAAAACACGAATGCATTAAACATGTTTATTAAAAAAAAAAAAATTAAATCAACTATTGATCTCCTAGCCTTACACACACAGCCTTTTCACACAAATACCGTTTGATAACAACCACTTCAAAATCAATGCAGCAGTTTGTTTTAGGAACTTTTATGCAAGCGTTCTAAGATATATTATTTATTCATTGGTAAGCAAACAAACACAAACTGCGGCAATACACTGGGGACCTAACATACTTACCCTCGTTAAAAACTAATGAAAAAGAAAAATAGACGCATCTTACTGGTGAAAATATCTCCATAGTACAAGTATTTCCAATTAGGAGGAAGAAATTCTAACGTGTCCATGGCGGGCTTCAGGAAAAAAGCAGAAGGTATTGGGAAGTGACCCAGTACAGAGAATTATTAAAGTGGTGGTAAAGCCTAGTCTAAATTTAAAAAATTGATCTCTTCACCTTCATCTTACCTATCCAGGCATAGCCTGTATAGGGGGAGAAAAAAAAAAAAAAAAAAAAAAAAAAAAAAAGATGTGTGCTTACCTATTTTTAATCAGCAGCGGTATGGTCACATGTTCATGCAGCCTCAGCTCTCCTGTGTAAGGGAGCACTCAGCAGCTGTGAACTCCCAGAGCTGTGCTGTCACCCATAGGCTCCCATCACCCCCAGCTGTTGTTGTCACTCCCTTCTCTTCCCTGCAGCAGCTGCTCTCTGGCACAGGGAAGCCGAAGCTGCAGGATCACATGACCGGACCAGATTAAAAATGGGCAAATACAGAGATCTTTTTAAAACCAGGTATGCAGGATAGGTAGGTGCAGGAAGGAGTGAATATTTTTAAGAGTATTTGGAGTTAGGCTTTTCTTCCACTTTAAGGCTGCCATTCCAGACATCATTCTGAATATACTAGCCCTCTGGCTATCACTTTTTTTCCAAAGTTTGAGTCTCTGGCCTGGAATATGTATGCAAAAAGAAAGGTCAAAGTGAAGTCAGAACTCATGCTCTGCATTCTTGTTCCCGTCAGTTACTCAAAGCAGGGAAGATGCTGAATCAACCTGATCGTATTTTCAGAAGGAGAAATTAAAGCTTCCTTGCTTCTTCCTATGCTGGGATCACCATTGAGGTATTTGTATATAGCTACTATATCTCCTCTCAAGCGTCTCTTTTCCAGGGAGAATAAGTTTAATGTTTGTAGTTCGCTTTATTGCCCTTCTTTGGACTCTCTCCAGTTCCAGCACATCCTTCCTAAGGACTGGTACTCCAGATGCGACTGAGCCAAAGTCTTGTAAAGTAGTAGAAAATTGT